TGAGCTCTGTGTAATATATCAAAGATCCTATACATGTGTGTGATGGTTTTGAAGGGGTTATATGTGGGTTTGTTTCTTTGTTTTCATCTGCAAGGAAGGCAAACATGAAGATCTCAAAGGATTTAGATACTGTTCTGTGGGATTTTTAATTTTTTTGTAAATTGAAGTACTTCAGAGTGGTAGAGGGACATGCTGAAATTGTTTAGCTGCCTGAGATCCTGTTAATTTGCATACCTAAAACTCCTCTCATATTGGCAGGGGTGCATGGCGGTGTGCTTGTCTGTCTTCTAATTCCTTTTATGATCGACAAATCTCCTTCTGAACTATCCTAATTAGCTCCTTCATCTCTTCATGTTTTTGTGTCTGACTAGAAACAGGATGTCAGCATTCTTAAAATACTGTTAGTCTGTTTTTCAGTTTTGCATATCTACTTTCTACATGATAGACTAGAGGAATACTTGTACATAGCTCCTATGTTTTCAAAGCAATAATTTTATTATTCTGGAGTAGTTCATGGAAGACACAGAATAGCATATTAATATTTTCATCCATTGCAAGGCAGTAGCTGTAATCTTATTTTGTGTTTTTAGCAGTGACTGAATGTTATAGGAATATTACTTAAGCTAGATTTATTTACTTGCACGCCTGTATTTAAGGCAACCTGATCACTTGAGCAGAATATGTCTTCTCTGAACTGATATATCCAGGTCTGAAAATAGACAAATATTCCTGTGGTAGTAAGGCACTCCAGCTTCTACCTGGACTTTACTGGACTCCTGGGCTAGTTGTTTTTCCCTGTACTAGAAATGTGCTTGTTTTGTTTGACCTAGCAAGAATAAAAATACGCTCCTGTTCTTGAGTCACAACACCCCTCTAAATGTAACGCCATTAAAAGACCCAGTGTGGCAAGTAGTTTTTTTTTTTTGGTTAAGACTGCACATAATGTTTCACATCGCTGTGTCCCCTGTATCCTTGAATGCTACAGAAGATGAGTGAAGTTGGCAACTGATTTTACTTTGTACAGCCTTGTTGGAAGAGAAGGACTTGGTAAGGGAGAGGGGAAGAAGGTAACCTCAGTTCTTATGTTTTAACCAGCTCCTCTGACTGAGAAGTATTATTACATAAAATTCACCAAGTAAGTCTTTAGAGATGTCTTAGAGCGAGTCATTCAGCCTTTTAAGATTGGAGTGCTAAAAGATCTGAACATTAGGTTGTTTGCATGGAGTGTTTTCTCCTTTATAAAGAAATCTCCAAATACAATGTCACCAGTGTTGATATTAATGAGGCTTTTAGCATATACTTTCGACTAGACTTCACAACATTGTCTGAAAGAAATGGTGGTATTTTTACGCTCCTGTACTGTAGGTATCCAGTAAGATGAAGACTTAGAGAGGAGACTCATGTCTGTATATTGAGTTTGTTATACAATTATGGTGTCCTTAATTGGTTATGTGGTGGTCTTTTTTCACTAATTAGTCAGGTGACCTGGGTCAGTGAGGTGTTCTGATGTACAAAATAGGAAATTTTTTACCTTTACCACAGTAAATTCCATTGCTGAATTTTACAACTTAAATGAAAAGTAAACACTAGGTTGAACTATCCGACTGACTTCTGCCTTTTTCTAAGAAGAAAACCTGAATCCAAAATTGCCTGGTTACATGGATGTTGATGGTGTCTTCTACAGAGCAGTTGCAAAACATCCAAGTTCTTAAGTGGGAATGAACCTGATGTTGTTGCTTCCCCCATATTTTTAGTGGAATATACATGAGTTGGTGTGGTGGTTTGAAAAAAAGCCTTTCCCCGGGGGTATTGTTTTTAATACTGGACCAATTGAAAGCTCATGCGCCCTTGCGGAAATTACATACTCACAAAAATGGAAGAGGTTAATTTTAATTGCGTAGCTAGAAGGAGAAGCAGCCATGCTTTGAATGCGCCACGTGTGGCGTGGGGCCGGGGGGCCGGGAGCAGCACAGCTACTGAGAGAAGCCCCCTGAAGCTAGCGACCGAGGGGGACCCCGGAAGATCTGGGAGATTTCTGGGTTGGAGCAGGCCAGGCAGACTAGCCATGACCCTTTGGAGAGGCGGCCGCAGCATACAATCATGTAAGTGCCGAGGGGAGTCTCCCCCCTGGGTTTGGGGGAGCCCATGGCCCCCCACTGTCCTGGCCCAGCCAAGACTGTGGGAGTTAAACTCCCCAGGAGTTTTCAAGCCGACCTCACCGCCTTTTCCCACCGTGGTGGGGAGGAGTGGTGAGAAGCTGGCTGGACCCTGCAGCAGCAGCGAATTGGACCAGTGAATCCGAGAACAGAGCAGAGGGAGAGAGAGAGTCAGTTGGACTCAGTTCTAGGGTCAGAACTTGAACTAAACTAAAAGCCTTAGAACTCCTTGACCCCGGGGAGGAGGGGTGGAAATCTCCAAGAATTTGTTCCCCGGGGGCGGGAATCTCCATGAAGCAAGAGCAGGGGATAGATTTTAACCTCTTGCATTTCATGCTGCAGAAGAAAGAACTCTAGCTGCGACAAATCAGAACTGCTGCCTTAAAAATAAGAGACACTTACCAGTGCCGCAGAAAATTAATTTGGAAGAGCTGTGGCCTGAAAGTGAAAAGAGGACTTGTCCTTTCTTTCTGGACTCTTTTTCGAAGGAAAGGAGAGATGATCTATGTATATATATTGTTTCACCATAGAAGAGATAGTTAAAACTGTTAAATATATATGTATATATATGTATATATGTTAATAATAAATTGTAATATATTTCCCTCCCCCATACTAAGTTGTGCGTGTCTGAAAACTTCTTCTCTCTCACATTAGAAAAAATTGTAGCAAACCTTTTAAAATTAGCTTTTTTTTAAAATTCCTGTTTTTCAAACCACTACAGTTGGACATGAATCCTGAATTTCCACCTCAAAGCACAGAATGCAAGTGGTTTTCATTATAAGCAGATTACATAGTCTCCTACTTTGTTAGGGGAGCTTCACAATGGTATCTGTGGTTTGCTTAAGGCTTAGTGATTTAAGTCATCTGTATGAAAAAGGAATAAATTTTTATGTTCTTCACTACCTAGTTGCAGTGAAAGACCATATGTTGGTGTTTTCTCTTGCAGCTTCACTCACTTAAGGACAGAGGTGTTATACCAAAACTTGCTAACTGCCAAGTCACAAGCTTTTGCAAGTACACAAATTAAAACTCATACTGTCTTGGTAGCTATTTAGTAGAATGGGAAAAACAAGTATTAAAACCCAGCTCCATGGCAGTGTGTGGGGCAAAAGTCTGATCTACCTCTGCAGCAGGAGAACACCAGTGGGAAGATTGAGATGCAAGTCTTAAGTCTCCTGACTGGATTGAAATATTTTCACTTTGTTGTTGTTTTCATTTTTTAGAAATCCTTACCTATTAGAACATGGAATGGAATTGTCATAAAAGTTCAGTACTAACCTGGCTTCAATTTTTTTTTATTTTTATAGTAGAACTTAAGTGTGTCAATGAATATTGTATTTCCTTACACCTCACTTGCTTTTTAAACTTCATAACCATTCATCAGATGCTTCTTCCTCAGTTTCTTGACAATATTCGGAGTAGAGCTATTGTATGATAATATTCAACTTAACACAAATTGTTCTTCAGTTCTGAGAGATGAATCAGAGAAGATGTCAGAAGTAATAATTGTAGAGTCACGGAATTGTTAGAGGTTGGAAACTACCTCTACATTATCATTAACCTAGCACCACCATGTTCACCACCATGCCCAAGTGCCACATCTCTGCATGCCTTTTGAATGCTTGCAGGGATGGTGATTCCACCAGTTCCCTGGGCAGCCTGTTCCAATGCCTGACTACCTTTTCAGTGAACAAATTTTTACTAATATCCAAGCGAAACCTCCCCTGGTGCGACTTGAATCCATTTCCTCTTGTCCTATTGCATGTTACCTGGGAGAAGAGACTGACCCCCAACTCGCTGTAAACTCCTTCCAGGAACTCGTAGAGAGCGATAGTCAAATATTGTTGACTTGGTGAAGACAAAACAAGAGTTTCCAAATATGATTAATTTGTATATAGCCGTTGACAGTTGCTGTAGTTGTTGGCAAGCTTTGCACACTAGGCAGTGAGGGGAGTCTAAGAAGGGGTAAGAGTCTGTCTGACTAAGTATGTGACTTCACATTCTTCAAATTTTCCTGCCAAGTCTGTTCTCAGACTCATCATAAAAACTATATACAGAATCCCTGCAACACTGACTCATCAGTCACCAGTGTTCTGTGTTGCTCTTGGTTTTGTGCAAGAGCTGTACATTCTGACACTTGCTGTGTTTGCAAATGTGCAGTGGAGAGCAATGTTGGTTCAGGATCTGCTGTTTTGAGTGACCTATAGATTTTTTGGATGTTACTATTATTAAATGCTTATGTTGGTTTCTGCTTGTAACTTCATGCTCTGCTTGCCACAGAGGTGTTGCTTAAGAGTATTCAACAGTATTGCAACTTGAGTGTTGCAACTTGACAGATGGTTTTCAATTCATGAGGAGCTCCATTTTCTTCTGTTGAATTTAAAATCTCTGGACTGATTTGTTGTGTCCCACAGCCATCTCTAGAAGACACAAGTCTAGGAGACGAATTATGTGCAGGTCATCTGTTCTAGTATATTTAGCTATAAAATATAATAAAACACAACTTGTTTCAACCTGTGCTTGGTTTATATTCTTCTGATATTATTCTGTCTGAGGATCAGATTGCAGATTTTTTTGACTCCACACTCTATTCCCTGTATGACTTGCTGTGCCCTGGACACCAACAAGGTGCAACTTGCTGGGAAACTATTACTTTATTTCAAGTGTCAGGATGCAACACTGTTTAACTTGCATCTAATTTTGAATAAAAGTAACTGTAACGGAGTATAACTGAGATTTGGGGGTTTGTATTTTGGTTTGTTTGGTTTTGTTTGTTTGTTTGTTTGTTTGTTTTTTTAACTGCACAATTGTGATGTGACTGGTTTCCTGTTTGATTTACAGCACTTAAATATCAAGACACTGACAGATGATGTGGTAAGACAGCTTAAGTTTTGCTTTGGCTATGCTAAGCAAATAACCTTACTGCTAATGCAATAGAAATAACCTTACTCATACAAGAAACTATCTTAATTTTGAAGTTAATTTAGTTAATTGGCAAAGTCTCACTAAACTAGTAATTACCTGTAACATAGTGCAAGTAGCAGAAATGTATGGATGGCTTTGAATGCTCTAATCGTGACTAAATGAGCTGGACTTAGGTAATTGTGCCAATTTACACGTGCCAAAGTTAGGATATCTTTGATTGCATGTTTAATATTGAAGTTACTTAGGCTGCATGCTAGCTTAAAATGATGTGTTTAACAAAGTAACAGTTGCTTGTGAAACTCACTAATGCTTGTTCAAACCATGATAGGTATGTTCAGTGCCATGCCAACACTGTTTCTTGAACTTAATGAGAGATGAGGTTCTGCAACTGATCACAAAGCAGATTTTTTTTCTTTTGCTCTTGAAGTTACCGATTTCATTGCCTCTACTATTCTTTTTTAGGTAATATTTTTTCTTAATATACATAATTTTACAATGTCTTTGAAATTGTCTAGGAAGTCATGTTCTGTCATCACTTAAAGCTCGGCTGTTATGACCGGTGCTATACAACTTCTTCCAAAGTACTTCTGTGTGTAACTGAGAGCTTCAGTGCAAATTTGAGTGAGATTTGAGATACAGCAGTGAGATTTGTGCTGGACAGTGTGTCACACATGCTGAGAAACACGGCTGTTTCCTAGCTTAGGAACCAGTCACCAGGCTATTGTTGATTGGGTGCGCAAATTTAGTAGTGTTGAGTGTGTTGCCTCCACCTATAATTCTTATATTGACTTAAATCTCCTGTTTCTATTTCTTTAGCAGAGATTCATTGGGTGGAAATGATCATTAAAAATTTAAGCCTGACAGGTTGATAATACAATGTTGATTCTATATATATATATATATTCTATCTATATGTGTTTATCTTGGAGAGCTAAGGAAGTATTATCAGTCCTCTCAAAGCGAAAGTATTTTCTGGTAACCAAAACTTAGATTTTGGTAGTGTCATGTAAGGGTTATTAAGTCTGGATGCATGAGATTTTGCTGCTTGTTTTTGTGAGGTGCTTATCCTCCCTCCGCCGCCCCTTGTTAAAAGGGCTAGCTTGCTGCATTATTGCACTTCTCCTTTATATAGCTTATTGGACTTGTCCAACTTGTAATGGTAGCCCTAAAATGTCAGCAGGTTTATTGTGGTTTTTCAGCATAATGACAAAGAGCCTGATAGTTCTGTAGTAAACAGTCTTCTCCCCAACTCCTTAAATTTCTCAGAGCGCACTAAAGGCCCATTCACAGACTAAAGAAACATCATCTGCAGAGTAGTACCAAATTGTTCATATGTATATTTATTTTTAAAAAGGGAAATGACAGCTATTTAGTAAAAGGCTAACAGTAAAAAAACCTACAACACCACAAAATATGAGATATTTTTTAATACCTTCAAAGGTGGGTATTCTGTTTATTCGCAACATCATTTTGGAATGAAGGTGTGCTTTCCAATGGACACTTTTTTCCTTCTATCTCAGTTTTATGTTGCTTTAATCTTTCTGTGTCTGATTCTGGAAAACAGCAAATAATACTACGTATCTCTTTTGTTCGACTATTTTGTAGTTTTGGGCAACTTAAACGTGGCTTAGAGCAGGGCAGTTTTTATATTTCATAGCAAGGATGAAAACTGGGAAATGTATTTACTCCAAATTCCTTTTATAACAAGGATGAAATTTGTAGTAAGAGAAGATTAAGAAATCTAAGGTTTAATATTACTTGATTTTGTAGCTTTCAACTAAATAATATATTTCCTTTCTTGTCATGGGCATTTATTTGCATATTAACTTGCTCTCTGCTGCATTATGCTTTATAAAATACTCATATTTTATTATTCCCGGTCTGTTTCTTACAAATACAGTGTTGTGCAATGGTGACCAGGAATGGTTTTTTTGCTTTTAAATTCAGGTAAATTAGCAACATGTTGGGAATCTAAAATGCAGACTACTTTTCAATGTTTGAATTGTATTGGATTATTTGTAAGATGCTGATGAATTGTCTGCTTTTAGTGGCAAATCCTCATTTCGTTCAGAAACACCTTGCTTTTTACACAATCAACACATACTTCTTTTAGCTTGTTTATTTAGAAACTACAGAGACAGGAATCATATTCCTACTTCACTGAGGAGTGGCAAGTACCTGAAACATTATCTATCTTCAAGGTCACTGTGGAAGCAAACCTGTTTTCTATCTCAAGTGCTCCACATTCCAAGAATCACAGAACCATCAATGTTGGAAGAGACTTTCAAGATCATCTAGTCCATCTGTCAACACAGCACCACCATAACCACCCTTAAACCATATCCTCAAGTGCCACGTTCAAGTGCCTTTTGAACGCTTCCAGTGATGGTGACTCCACCACCTCCCTGGGCAACTTGTTCTAATGCCTGACTACTCTTTCATTATTTTTTTTTTTTCTAATACCTAATCTGAACCTCCTCAGGCACAACTAAACCCATTTCATGTCCTTTCACTTGGTCCTGCTGGCCACATTATTTGTGATACAGTCCAGGATGTCATTGCCCTTCTTGTCCACCTGGACACACTGCTGGCTCATGTTCAACCAGCTGCTGACCAGCACCTGCAGGTCCTTTTCTGCTGGGCAGCTCTCCAGCCACTCTGCCCCCAGCCTGCAGCACTGCATGGGGTTGTTGTAACCAAAGTGCAGGATGCAGCACTTGGCCTTATTGAATGACACACTGTTGTCCTCAGCCCATTGGTCCAGATTGTCAGGTTCCTCTGCAGAGGAAGTGGTTTGGTGAGCTCTTTTGTCAGATCCCTCATTATTCTCAGTTGCGTTCCATCCAGACCCATGGACTTGTGGGTGTCTAATTTGGATAGCAGATCACTAGCCATTTCCGTCTTGGATTATGGAGGCTTCACTCGGCTCCTCATCACTAACTTCCAGCTCTGGAAGATGGGTATCCTGAGCACAGCTGGTTTTGGTATTAAAGACTGAGGTAAAGAAGGCATTAAGTATCTCCTTTTTGTTATCCCGCCAAGGGTGGAGGCTCTCTGGAGCCCTTCTTTTGCTGCCAGTGTATTCAAAGAAACTTTTTTTCTTGTCTTTAACCACAGTTCCAGTTTGCCTTTGACTCTTCTAATTTTCTCCTTACATAACATAACCTCACAATATCCTTGTAGTCCCCCTGAATTACGGCTCCTCCTTCCAGAGGTAAAACAGTCTTCCCCTTCCACCCCCCGAGTTCCAGCCTAAGTTCTCTGTTAAACCATGCTTGTCTTTTTATCTGCCAGCTTGTCTTACAGCACATGGGGACAGCCTGCCTGTATCTTTAAAATTTCCTTCTTAAAAGATGCCTAACCTTCCCAGGCTCCTTTACCCTTTAGGATTGACTCCCAAGGGACTCTGTCAGTCCATGTCCTAAACAGGCTAAAGTCTGCCTGCCAGAAGTCCAAGATGGCATTTCTGCTGGCACCCTGCCTTAATTTCACCCAGAAGGGAGAACTTGTGGTCACGGTGCCCAAAATGGCCACCATGCACCATATCACCCACCAATCCTTCTCAGTTAACAAACAACAGGTGTCTTGTCATAGGCCAGGAGGGGATTCACCCAGAGCAGGGACCTACCTCCATTCCCCTGATTTCTTATGTCCCATCCTGCCTGTTGGGGAGAGGGTAGGGGATCTTCTGCTTCCTGAGGTGCAGTTGCCTGGTACGTGTTCCTCAGGCTTGGCAGAGAGAGTGGCTCCAAATATTTTGTAAGGCTCATAAAGGTTAAGAAAACCTGCGTATTAACAGAATTTTATTAAAAGTTATCTTATGTAGACAAAAATGAAAAGCATAATAAAATTCTTTATGGCATAAAATTATACTGATTTCAGAACAACTGCTTTAAAGATAAGGAAGGCTGTATAATTTTCAGTATACAGTGAAACAAAATTCAGTGTGAAATATTGTGTGCTTATTTCAGTTGTGACTGTGCACAGGCCTAAATTCTGTAAATTTTAGAATAGTAAAATCATCTCTGTGAGATTGAGCATGCTAGGAATAAGAAGTTATTTAATCAAAGGGATTCTTCTGTGAACCTTGGTTTATGCAAGTCTTGCTCTTCCTAAAAGCTCTACTGCTACCAGTGGTATTTCTCACATAGTAGGAAGTGAATCTTGTAGAGCAATTTGACTGTCAAAGGAAGGTTGTACTTTTTTAATCTTCTGGAGCTTCAAGTAGGAAAAAAATTTTAAGAGGTCTTTGACTCAGTCATTGGAAGTAACTTTGATCTTCTGTGAAGTATTTCTGCTAGTCAGGGAAAAGAGTGGGTTGCTTTACATTCCAAAGATACTGAAATAAATTGTTGCAACCCAATTTCTCCTGTCTGTTCCCCATCTACTGAGAATTATAATAACTTTGAATGAAGACACAGGATTTGTTCCACTTTGTATTCTCCTTTCTTCCCTCCTATGTCGTTAATGTTCTGCTAAGTCTTTATCATTTGTCAGCATCAGGGTGTTAGAGCAGACTTTCATGACTGAGCTGTTGGCTTCTGTAATTAAAATGACTGGCAAAATGTCTGGGAGATTGAGCTGTGCTGTAGTACTCGAGCAGATTTTGCAATGTGAAATTGTGTTTACTGAGTATATAAATAGCAGGCAGGCAAAAATGTGAACTTGAAAATTGAGGGTGGCAAGTACTTTTTGTCCTATGTATCTATAAGGCAGAGTCACAAGGATGCTTGGAGAAAGAGCAGAAGCTGTTAGCAATACTCTTGGCTTTATGCCTTCAGTCAGGAAATAAATATTTTGTACCTGTATATTTCGTATCAAAACTCTGCTGATAGATTGTGCTTAGTGATCATCATCAGTGTCTTGATGGTCCATATATATATGTGAATGTGTTTCTTCATGAGAATGAGAGTGGGGAAGAAAGAACACTGTTCAGTACTTCTAGTAACAGTTTAGGTTAAACCATAACAATTCTGGAATCCTGTCTCTTCATAATGAAGTATCAGAAGTTTTGTCCTCAGAAAGAGAACCTGGGGGAGAGATACCTTCCTACATCTTCATCTTCCTTCCTCCTCCAGGCTGATTACAGTAGCATTTGAGAATTTTAAAGATTTTGAATATCTTTTGAATACCCTTGAAACTAACCTGGTCCTTTTGCTAGGAGCCAGCATGTTGCTGCATATAGTGCAGGTCTTGTTTAAGGTCAGACTATTAATTAACAGCATCACCCAGAGATCTACCCAAAAGCTGGATAGTTTGGGGTGGCGGGGTCTATGGGATAGCATAGGCCAGTAGCTAGGGCAGTGGACACCTCCAATGTGTGTGCACCTCGCCTCTGAACAAGTGCATAATCCAGAAAAACTAGTAAAACATTTGAAAAAAGTGTGCTGTCACCCTGATGCTCCAGAGAGGACCCAAATCACTGCAACCTGTTGAACTGTGGCCCAGGCCTATTGAGCTATGTTCAACATTCTCAGGGGGAAACGAATGTCTCTGGATCTGACAATATAACAGCAACAGACCCTGCAGCTACTCCAACCACTGTGGTGGATGTGGCTACTTCAACCCTGGCAACAAACATTGCCACTGAAGCAGAGCAACATCATGTGCCAGTGTCAGTTCTGTACACAAGCAGAAAAAATGTACACAAAAGTCACCCTGTAAAAAAGCTTTAGCAAAGATGATCAAGGGGGACAAGGAGGTAGGAGAGGGCAGAGAGGATGAAGAAGAAGGGCCATCACATGCCATTGCCAAGGCAATCACTTTCAGTGATAATGAATGTGTTTTTATTCAGGCGCGTTCTGGATTTTATTTTTGAGGAATTTCCTAATATAGCAATAGGTGATTTTATGTGGTAATTAAGGGGGAGATGAGGGAGGCAGGGTGGCATTCCTGCATGCATAGCAGCTCTGTTATGAGGTGATGTCTTGATAAGCTGTAGAGCTAACAAATAGTCTAGCAGTAACTTATCCATTAATTCCTGCATTATCTAGTAAGTTCAATAGTGCTATTGTCTTACAGAAAATCATATAAGTCTTCACTAAGATCAAAATGAGAACCCAAATAGATGTACTCTCTAGGGACCTGATCAGAAAGTGTGATGAGCCAGAAAGTTTGTATTGTGGATTGCTTTGTTTTTTCATGGCCATGGTGTGTGAATAAAATCACTTTCTTATTTCATAGGCTCTCAGTGGAATAATAGTGAGCACATGAAATAAGAAGGAAATAAAACTTTACCATTCATCCTGTGATGGTTGCTTCATTTTGGCTCATACGGGTATTGTTCTTATTGTCCTAAAGCACTGTTCCTGGATGGGTCTATATATATTTATTGGTAAAATAAATGCGAAAAAAGACAGAGATTTCTAGAGAAGATACAAGGTCAAACTGGCTTTAAACTGTAGTGGAACTTTGTATCAGAGCTAAGCTTAGCTATTGCCCGTTGGTTAGCCTGATTTAAAATGTTTTGTTGTAACATGGAAGATTATTGAACTTTTTTTCACCATTTCATCTTCTGTGCACTTGGATCCCCAGCAGCATCAGTGGTAGATTTCATTACACCCAAGCAATGAAATTTCTATTCTTTCTGTATAGTGCTTTCTGTGGACCATGAAATTATTTGCCTGTATGGAATATTGAGAGGTATAAACTTTTTTGAAGCACTATCAATGTATAATTCAAGAGGGAAATGTATGTAGAATATCCTCACTGTACTGCTGTGCAAGTCTTGTTGTGAATTTCCTTTTATTAATGTTTGGGAATCTTCTTTTAAGACTGCATTGTTTTACATTATTCAAAGTAATTAGTTTGACACATGTTTAAATGTGCTTATAATCCTATTATCTCAATTTGTCTTACATGTTCTGCCTGATTAAATATATTCCAAGAGTGTGCTTCCCTCCTCTAGGACAAGTGGTATAGGATTTGTTGAATAGAGGGAATGCGAACGTTATGGCCTGATGTGTAATGATGCAAAACATCTACTATACAATCTGATATTCAGGAGAAGCCTAAAACCAAAACATAACCTAAAAATGGGAACAACTGAAATATTCCTTTTCAAGGAGGAATGGGCTCTCATCCCTGAATTAGTGCTGTCTGTTTATAGTGGAACTCTGGTACTACATGAGCTATTACATGGCAGAGACCAGGGTGGTTCTGCCTGGCCAGAACTGCTATTGTTGCTGCTGTGTGGAGCAGGAGAAGGAAGAGGAGACACTTGGGGAACACAGATTATGAGGAAGGGACTGAGATTTTTTCAGGCGAGATTGAAAAAGCAGTGTAGGGTACAGCTCTGTAAAACTTAATTTTTTCTCTGTTGACTGATCGAGGGGCTGAAATCTGTTATTTCAGCCCAAGTGTCTTCCCTTTACATTTGCTTCAAATCTGTGTATGAACCATCTTCAAATATAATGGTTTGTTTCTTAGGTTATCTACTTTATAATGGACATGTGGGGCTGAGAAGCTACTGGCAAACTCCTTCTTTGGAGGAGGCGGGCTGCCTTTCATCAATGCTCTGTGAAAGCCATTGCTTTAGAAGGAAAATCTTGTATAATATGATTTTTGTGCCATTCCAGTCTAGTCATTTCAGTTTGCATTTCTGGCTTCATCCCCCTATGCTTACTGTAGACTTCTGATTTTAAAGGCAGAAAGGGAAATTGCTTTCTAGTCAAGATGTAAGATGGTTTTTTCCACTGATGACTCTATATTTCACTTCCACTGATGTTACTCTCCCTTTTGCTTTTGTTGCATTCTCTTTCTTCCTGTGTCTTGCCAATGTAATTATTCCTGTAGAGTGTGCTTTCCTCATTGCCTGCTGGTTTGATGGGACACTGAAGGGCCTCATCATCCATGCTGAGCTCTTTTATGTTTATGCTATATTAATTTTCTGCTTTTGCATGTTCTACAACCATCTGTATGTAAGTGGCTTACAATCTATTTCTATGTTCCAAAAACTGTTCCTTTTCAATTTTGAACAGGAAAAATTAAAGTCTTTTTGTTTTCTTCTATACCTCTCTTCTTGGATTACTGATAGTCAATTCTTGCTCTGATTAGAGTGTAACACTTGTACTCAATTTTTGCTACTAATTTTATTTGCTCTCTCTCTCATCTTAATTCCACAGATGCTATAATAATTTGACTTGCTATTTAGTTTGGTAACTTTGATGTACTTATTAAGTGATAACTCAAGATACTTATCTTAAAGATGTATTGAAGCCTCAATATTTTTGCATAGCATTTCAAGATATGTCTATTGATATGGTTGAAATCTTGTTCAAAATCTCTTATGCATCAAATGTTACTGTAACTTCTGTGTTGACAAATGTTATACTGGTGTTCACATCTGTTCAAAAGGCTGCTACAAAGATGATTAAGATTTAGTGCATCTCATTACATATGTCAGCTGCTTTTGCGTTGTTGATCCTTGTGTGTACATTAAAACACACACGCTCTAGCACTGAATATGTGTGAAGCTTCACTTAGCAAATCTTTATGGAAAAGTTGATAAATATCTAACCATTTAAAAGCCCCACAACCAAAACCACTTTTTGAAGGAGTTTTTTTGTCCCTTGAAAGAGTAACACCAGAGCAATTGACTTGGGCTGTTGATTAGTCATAAGGATTATTCATGAAATCATAAGTGTTCCCTACTTAGCATTAATAAAGGAGTTGAAAGTTTTTATGCTTCTCCTAAATGAATTTCTAAATAATTGGAACAAAGAAAGGCACTAAATTTTGTATAACATGATGGAAATTAAACATAAATAGAACAGTGTCTTAGTTATGCTAACTTGTCTTTTAATAACAAATAGTTTCTTTGCATATCTATGTACTCTGTTGCCATGTCAGGAGTACAGCTGTTTCAGAGTGACAAAAACAACTTCTAAACTATGTTTTTGGTAAATAAGCCTGCTTTCTTACATTCTCCATGTAATGATTGGAAAGAATTCTTCATAAATTGGTTTTGTATATATCTATTCCTCCAAACTTTCTGTAAAATTGTTGTGTTCTGCACAATTTCTCTATAACATAATGAGATTCTGGTCTGTTAACTCAAGTGCTAAGGCCACCGACTGTTATATGTATCTTTAGGAAAACCCTCAAAAATAAGACAGTTAAATAACAGGCAAGGTACCAGAGAAAAATAAGGGTGTTTAGCTTCCAAGAACACGTATGGTAGTTAGGGTTATATAAAATGAAGCGATATGTGATATGTTATACCTTTTATGTTTTCAGTTGGATAGATTTGCCAGTATAAGAATTCCAAAAAGTAAAAAAGAAAGACCTCCTCTACCACATATGAAGCAGTCGCATTCTACAGATTGGTCATCCACATCTATGGATCCAGAGGATTTTGCTCCAAAACCACTGTCGGAAAGAGAAATCATAGCACTGTTTGAAAAAATGATGGTAAGAGTCTTATACTCATTTGTTTTACTTGAAGAATTACAATGTGGCTAATTGATAGGCAGAGCCCTCTTTTGTGCAGGTGTTCTAATCTTTACATGAATTATTAATATTGTTGGTGTTGTGAGTTGTAATTATGTGATTAGAGTGTTTCTCAGGGAATAAATTATTGGAATTATTTCTACAAACTTTTGCTCCAAGTTTATTTAAAATGGAAATTAAAGGTTTCTAATTATTGGAAGTGAGATTATGCAACACATTTTGAGGAGGATCAAGAAATGGGGAATCCTGCTTCCTTTTAAGATGACCTGAAACTTTTACGAAGGGATTTTATGCCTCTAAATGTCACAGCAGGATTTTGGTCTGAATTTATATTCCATGTCACTCTTGCACAAAGTAAAGACTTAAGGTTCTTGCCTCCAAAGCAACATTTATCTGCAAATGCAGTCTCAAATTTGCTTCTTTCCTTAGCTGTCATTGTTACTGTGCTACAAAAGAGCAGTCACAAAGGTCATGTGGCATTGGTACCACCTCAGTAGGTTGAATATTTTTATCATGATGATGACATTTTGAGCAACTGAAAACTAAACATGAAATGGCCATGAGAAAAGAGTGACTGCAATCTGAAGAGCACAAGAGAATGTTAACAAGGAGAGTAATACCTAGATTATTATTTCTTTCTCTGTCTCACAGCAAGTAACAAGTAATTTTCAAGAAACACAAAGGGACTACCAGAGGCAGGGATGTGGAGGAAATGAAATGTACTATGAGAGAAGTACCTGTGTGGAATTTGTAATTCCTAGTACTCAGTAATGGCAGCTTAGTTTTATGATGCTTTTGTAGAACTCTGGAGAACTTTGAGAGATAGCATTCAGGATTTATGTGGTTAAGCTGGTGAAGGAGAGGAGTAATTAACTGTATTAGCAACTTTTGTATTGGTACTCGTTTTCACATGGTCTATTTTTATTGGTATACCTTGGTATCTTGTTTCTCTTAGAAATTTCATAGTGAATCATAGTTATTCAAATGTTAGGAAATGGGACAGTTTTTTAATAAAACTTGAAGGTGTGCCTCCCTCCCTACACTCCCCTGTGTATAGGTTGTATTTCTCTGCCATTCCACAGAAATTCTGATACAGGATAGTCTGTGATGTTAATAGTATGCCATAAAAAATAGAAACTTTCATTAAATCCTCAGAAACCTACTATTGTGTGTCTAGGTAAATAGAAATGCTTATATCTATGGATCCTGAAGTAATTAATTCCAATTTTAAAATGACTTTACAAAAAATATGTTAAAGTAGTGATGACATCTGGAAAATTTGAATGCTTTCCTAGTTTCATTGATTAACACAGTACTTAAACTGTATTTGATAAGCTACTTTATCAGTGTTATTTTATCTATAACATGTACTACAGAAAGGATTTTTCAGATTATCCACATTTGAATGGACTGGAATTAAAGCTAGTTTAGTCACAGTAGATTACATAGCTAATTATATATTGTAGCCTCTAGTTTGCTGTTCTGATCAAATTAAGTGATTTGGGGAGGGTGGATTGGTGAATGTTGTAGGCAGACTTTTAGAGCTAATTTTGCACAAAATAAAAATAGTTAATGTAGTAGTATTGAAGGGAGAAGTTTTTAAATTCTGAGGGTTTACTGAACTTTGGGTTTTTCTGGATGCATACTGCTTCCTTGTCCCAATATTCTATGCAGTGGCATCCTGTGTGGTTTTGGTAATAAAAGTTATGAAAGAGCTCATAAAACCAGACAGTTAAAGCTAATAATTAATGTCATTGAGTGCTATTAGGAAAATATCCATCATTCTTATTTTCCAAGAGGAAAAATCACCTATGGAGTATATTTTAATTATTTAAGAAATATAAGGATGGAGTTGAAGTATTTTATAAACTCAGCCACAACTGATTTGCCACTTGCATTGCTGAATGCTTCTAATCAGTATAAATCAATTGTTTTAATGATGTTTCATTTGTTAAAAACAAGAACAAGGAAATGACTTTTTACTGCACACACAGAATATTTCCTATAGATTACCTTGCTGTTATATCTGGGATTATGGAATACAGTTTGTGGTGAAAGATTTGTTAGTTCTTGGTGGTTTTTGTTATTAGAAGTTAGATATTTTTATTTAAGTTCAGCAGTTACTTTTTGGAGCACCTAAAAGAGCAAGTCTGAAAGAAACTGCTTTAAACAGAAGAATGAACTTTGCAACTTCTATAGGATAACGTGAAAAGCTTTTCTGTTTGTTCAAGTTAAGTTCACCAAAATTAACTCTATCCAAACTGAAACTAGGACAGTGGTCAAGCATTTTCTGCAATGGCTTCTCACAGCTTGGATTTATACAAAACTAAATGTTTCAAGGAACTGTGCTTGATTCTATTCTACTCGACATGAAAACTATATTGAAAGACAAGGAAACTTTCGTTTCAGTGTAGTATAAATTCAAAGGTTTGTCTGTGGTGTTTGATTTCTGACTAGGTGAAATAACTTTGATATCATGATGGTTACCCACTGATTTTGTAGCATTGCTCCTGCCAAAGCTGGTGGGGATTCACCTTATGAGTCTAAGCTGAAAATAACTGCAGTAATTCTTGCTAAGCTTGGGTAATGCACATACTGTGTGCTTGTATATGTGTGTGCCAAAATTGTTAATTGTTCCTTAAAACTATTTTTAATTTTTTCACCTCCACAATGATAGGAAATGCCATTTCTCATAGATGTGCAACTGATTACAATGATCAGCACATTTCTAGGCTGGAACAGTAGAAGTCCCTGTGTCAGAAATGACAGTGAATAGCTACTGTGTGGGTTTGAGTATAGAGCCTCTGCTCTTTTTGACCTCTGGATTTTTCTTGGAGTGAATGAATTGTGGTGGAGTTTTGATAACAGTTGAAGGTGTTGATTTAATGATCAAATCTTTAAGAATTTGGGCCTTACATATTGCAAAGATGAATATTATTTTGTACTACTCTCAGTGCAAACCAGATTCTGCTGCCCAGGATCAGGAATTTGGGAATTGAGGAAGTGAATTATGGAACAAATTAAAATACCTAAGATACTGGTTTGAGGACACTTATAAATGTTTTGGGAAGTGTTAATAATGCTTTTCTGTCGTTTACTACATTGTCTGAAACTGTAGGTCATTTCTAAGAAGAGAGTGTGCTAATAATGACTGTGATGCACTTGTTAATCCCAGCATAGCTGACTGTTTTTTTTTCAGTCTGAGTTGAGGTTACGAGGGAAGGTGGATAAAGATATTTATGGTTTTGATTAACAACTTATGAAAAGTTATTTGTATAACAGCTTTCAGTTGCCTAAGTTCATATTTTTGTGTCTTTATTTTATTTATATCAGTCTCTCATATTTAAATCACTCTGTTGCTGTATGGCATTTTTTTCCTCTCTCATTCCAGGAAGATATGAATTTAAATGAAGACAAGAAGATGCCATTGAGAGAAAAGGATTTTAATACCAAAAAAGAAATGGTGATGCAATATATTAGCACTGCTTCAAAGTCTGTAAGTAAATGTCTCTGAAGTATACCAAAGTGACTTAATGATTACCTTATTTCCTATTGGAGGGAAAAAGTGATGCATGCATGCATGTTATATTCTTTTGACCAGCTGCCGTTTCTCACAATATGCTTTAAAAAGGTTTGTATTGATCTCATTATTTTACAAGGTATGATGGCAGATAGTCACTTGTATTTGAAGTGTGTCTTCTGTATACAAAACAGCATTTCTTTTTGGTAGAGAGGCGGCTATTAGTGGAGATAGAAAGATTCTATGGAAAACTTCTCACAGATATTTGGTGTGAACCTTTTTTCTAGCATTGTTTAAATTTCTTAATTAATTAAATTACTGAACTGATGAGCCTTTTTCATACCTGAAAAATTCAATACAGAATTCATATTGTGATGTTATGTAATAGCTGATAATGAAAATGTTGTGCACAAAGCCAATTAGTGCCCATTTTTACTTATAGGGATAATTACTCGTTGTTTTAAAGCAGTATAGGGAGTTGTATGTAAGGACCAGTTTAAGGATTCAGTTGGCATGAGAAGAGCTGTTTAGTTTTTACAGCGTGGGGAACTGACTCCAGTGCTAGATGCTGCAGTGCCAATACTGTTCTCAGATCTTTTGGTTGTTTTAGAATTCATACGTTTGAGTCTTTGACCCTCACTGCTGCATGTGGCCAGAGATATCAGTAAAAATGACCTGTATGTAATTATAACTACATATGAAGAAAAGCAAACATTAAATATAGTAATTTAAATGAGATATTTATCTTATTGTCTACATTAAATGATGTACTTTATTAGTGTCATGGTCTAGCACTTTTAGGAAGGTATGTACACCTAGAGCAGGACTGAATTGCCTGGAGGTTGTTTTACCTAAGATGAGTTCTTGAAAGCTACTAGTCCTTCTATAGCATAACAGGTCCTTAATACCAGAAGATTAGGTCCAGCTTTGTTGTTTTTTTATTTTTTAGAGATATTTTATCTCTAAAAATCAGGGAACTTCAGGCTAGTAAATCTCACAACACTCTTGAAGTCTATCTACCCAAAACAGCATGTCAGGGTTTATATATCATGGACACCCCTAACCTCCACATGTATTCTAAGACCTCAGTTGTTTGATCTTAAAAGTAGTGTGACATGACTGGCTATGCAGAGTTGCTGTATCCACATCTGTTGCTGGAATCTTAGCATTCTGATGTTGGTGATGTTAAGGCTCTCTTTCTCAAGAGAAAGGTTTTCGTGTTTTTGCTTCCTGGCACTTAATACATGGAAAGAACTGAAACCTATATAACAGGTTTCATCGATCTTTCTTTCTGAGTGCCATTTGCAATAAATAATTTTTCTTTTGTCTTTGGATGTCATCACACTTGTGTTTTGGCAATGGAGGTTCTTGCACTATGCCCCAAACAGCATAGTATAGTGTGTATATATATATACATATATATATAGTATACCATATGTATAGTATGGCATGGTACAAGGTACTCTGTTGAAGAGGAGAGGTCTGTTTCCTCCCCCAGGGTAGTGATTTGTTCCAACACTATTGTCTTGCATGTTTTCCTGAAGCTCTCAACAGCATTTTTTTCCTTTCTGTTCCCATTCTCTGCTGCTAGCCCACGTATTCCCCTTTCTGCTGTGGGAGATCACTAAAGACCAATCCATACAGGGAAACTTGTCTTTCCTGAACTCTGTTTCTGTGGTTGTGTCCTTACTGGAAGTTACATTCACCTATTGTATAACTGCGAGGGACTGTTTTTGTGAGGCACAGATTCAACTGTTTGATACAGTAGAGCTGCAGATGATTTCAGTTTACTGCTGGAGCTCCTTTGATGGGAAATTCCTTCCCTTACACTTGAAAACTCTTTGTTCCTGGCATGGGCTTTCATGTCTCAAGTTCATTGAGTGCCTTCTCAGTCTAGAGAGAATAGTGCACTGCACACCCAGAGTATTTGACTAACTTCTGGTTTACCTTGACTTCATGAAAGAGTGTCATGCTTTTTCAGAACAGGTGAAGTACCATATAGCTCCTGTTACATACAACTAACCCCATCCCACTCTCTTTCTAGAAGTGATACTGCAGTAACTTCTTTTGATAGTTCATAATTCTCAAACTTGAAGGAGATGGATACTAAGCTATACTGTGTTGGGACAAATATCTTCATTTCTAACTGTTATGCAGAGTACTGAGCAAGTTTCATTTAAAGCAGTTATCATTTTAAAAACTATATAAATGAAGAACAGAGACTGTACCTCTAATGAATCACTGAAAATGAAATAGCCTCTGGTGATCAAACTGGACTCTACTATAATCAAAGCTTCACCATTGACCTCAGTATTAGGATTTCTGTTTCTTAGAAATGCACAAATTCTTTCCAATGTTCATAAAACACACCTCTTTCCACAGTAATACTTGCATAAAGGAAAAATTTTGAAAAGAAAATTCCATTTTATGGAGTTAATACTCCAGTGGAAATAAAACAGCATTGCTATCGTGTTATGCTACCATAAGTTTTGCTATTTTTTATGTTCAAAACACACACAAACTAGGCTTTAAAGTGAGTTTTCTTCTCAATATTTTGTTTTTGTTGTTCACATTACTCCTTGTAATGTTTTAACTAGATTAATTTATGCTGACTTCATGCTGCATCTGCTCACAGACCAGTTGTTCTTCAGTTGAGCAATTAGATTTCTAGAGGCACTGATGTCTCAAGATGTTTCCTGTTTCTCAGTTAGCTTGAGCATTTTGAACTTAAGCAGCGTTTCCCATGCTGAAATATAGCTAATATAATCAGTTTCACAATTGGTACCAAATGCAGCTCTCGTTTTATTTAAGCACTGGCAGATATATCATATTCTTATTATGTTGCAGAACTTATGTGGCATAACTATGAGTAAGTGACACTTGGCATTGTGGGTATGTTGTACAGACATTCACAGTTTATTGCATAGGATAGTGCTCAGGTGGGGAACTGAGTCTGAGACAGGATGGCTGGTTACTGTATGAATGTTGATGTGAGTCTCCATTGCTTGGGACACTGTCTTCAGATGGGTCACATGAGGCTCTCTGAAATGTCGTTCTAGTGGATTCTTATAGTCCAGCTGGGCTCTTGTCCCATGTGACATTCACACTGTACACATTACTACTGATTACATTAAATTCTTTCAAAAGTATTTCTAGCCATCTTAACTGTATGTCCTGTCTATATGACTGTCATATATGACTGTGCATCAAAACAAAAGCAATTTTACAGCGGGAACTGCTGGGAGAAGTCACTGGAAATGACAGATTCTGCACCCTGGATATTAATCCATATGCTTAGGCATACAAGTAGTGCTTGTTAAGAAGTCTATGCACAGCAGGAGCTGCCAGCAGAATTTCTGTGACTTCTTGAAATTTGCAACTGGAGAGCTCTTGTAACATTTAGTTAAATACTTTGTCATGAAGGATGCTAGGAGTTTGTGTGGTCATTTTGTCTCTAGTTAATTCGCTGTCTCACCTATGCAGAGATGAGCTGGGAAGATCCATGAAAGAAAACTGAAAACACTGAGTTTCTTTTTGTTTGTGGGAGCATTTATTGTTATGGATTTTTTTTAATTTTCTCTGAGTTTCCTAGATTTCTCCTCCAGACTCTCCTCAACCCTCATCCCTTCCTGGACATCTCATCTATTTTTTATGTGGAACATAGTTATTGGAAGTGGCTCTCATATTTAAACAAATAGGAATCTCCATGCACTACGTGTGGTGTTCCAAAATATAATATGAGATGCTCTATTTTCAGGATGATTCCTGGCAGTAGTTTGTTTTTTGGTGTCTGGAGCATCTGTTTATCAAGTCTGAGAAAATATAGTTGGAGCAGAGAGTATTATAGTTCACAATGTTCTGTTATTAGAGAGTCATAGAACAGAATGATTGTGACTGGAAGAGACTTCTGGAATAGTCTTGTCCTACCTCTCACCTATTCCCTTTTTAGTATCTCTGATAGAGGAGACTATACAGCCCGCCTGGGCAACCTGTTCCAGTGCTTGACCAGCCTCAAACTTAAAAAAATACAAGGGAAGAGAGGACAAGTTTTGTTTATGCCTAATATTTAACCAATTTCTTATAATTCAGTGTTTACTTCTTGACCTTTCACTGATGGGGTTCCCCTGAGCCTCCTCTTCTTGGGGCTAAACAATCTGAGTTCTATCTACCTCTCCATGTACTACAGATTCTCCTGTAATTGTGTCCATAGCCCTTTCTGAACTCATTCCAATATGTCCATGTCTCTCTCATGCTGGGGAGTGAAGAACTGGACACAATACTCCAGATGCTCACCACTGCTTACCTGAGGGGAAGGACAATCTCACTGGTGATGCACTTACCGTCCATGCACTTGTCATCCATCAGAACCCCTATTTTCCTACAAACCTGCTTTCCAGCTGGTTGGCCCCAACGCATGTTGGTGCATAAGGTTATTCCTCCTCAGGTTCAAGATTTACCATTTTCTGTTGTGGAACTCCCTGAAATTCCTGTTGATGTCCCTCTGAATGGCAGCTCAGCAGCCTGGTCTGTCAACCATGCTTCCCAGCTTTTAACTTCACTTCTCTGCTAGAAACTATTTCATAGAAACTTCATAAGGAGAAAAGCTTAATTCTCAATACTTCCTGAGGATCTTCCAAAGTGAGAAAACATCTGTATGAAGCTATCTATAATAACATAATGAGACCACATCACTATTTACAATGAATAGTTTCAAGTTATTATTGCACTGCAAGTCTAATTCTCTTCAATTCCTGACTTAAGCCACTAGTTAGTCAAGAATTATTTAGTAAGTCTCTTTGGTGCAACATGACAGTTGTGCTTCTGCTCTCAAAAAAAGGAGTCTTGCAATGAATTAACGCAAATATAGGTTGTATGCAACATTGTATGCCTCTTTCTTTGAATTTAGATATGTTCTGTAGAAAATATCCTTCATGTGAAATGATATTAGGTGGAGTTGACTTCTTATTTTTCAATGTCTACAAATTTTGTCTTTACTATACTGAAAAAAAGGAGAGGATACTCTTACTAATTGGGTCAATGCCTCTTAGATTTGCCCATTTACTTGCAAATTGTAGAACTTCATTAGTTCAGTGGAACAATTACTTTTTTTAAAACAACAGATACTATATATCCTTCAGAAAAATCATTAATATCCTGTATTTATTTTAATCAACATTTGGCAAGACAGATACAGCGATGACTCAAAGCTGGCTTCTTTCAGGCTGTATTGCTTGGAACAGAAAGTATTTTGTTTGCATGAAACTGCTTTTGCTGTGCTGCGTGAACTTGCTATTGCATTTTCCTTTTTATCTCCCTGTTCTCCACATCCCCATTTGCCTCCCCACCTGCCAAAAAGAGCAAACCCCAAAAAACAAGGCAAAATCCAAACCTGAAGGTTTGAGTAAGTGTCCTTTACGTTATTGCATCAATAGTCATATTTGTGTTGCACTGCATTCTTACAGATGGCCAACACAACAAATGAGCAGCTGAGGTTCAACTTTATAATTTTAGTTCTAAAAGACTCTTTTAATGTGGTTTTTTCATTTTTATTTTTTAAATTCTTTTGCTTTAACTCTTAGAGCCAAAGTTAGCCAATCTCATATAGTCCTCATCTGAAGAAAAGAGTGTTTTACAACACTGTCTGCAAGAACAGAAGTTACTACAGTAACACTCTGAATACTCTTCTGGTGTGCTGCAGTCACCCTTCGCGACCTGTGCCTTATGATTTCTTCAGAGAACCTCAGAACTGATTTTTTCTTCAGTTGAAAATTGAAAATTAAGGTGTTTGCAGTGCATAAACAGAATCCATTCATTACGACGATTGTATTTCACTGAGCATGCGTGATAAATTTGTACATTTGATGCCTGCTACTTTTGTCTACTGATTAGAAATTTGTTCATAAGATGACCAAAATTTAGTCAGCATTTGGCATATAGTAGATAGAGATCAGTTACAGGTTTAGGTCTACATTATATTTTTTTCAAGGAACAGAAATTAAGGTTAGCCATTAATAATCTATTTGAGTTCTATATGCACCAAATAAAAAACGAATGTATTTTCTGTGTTTCAGGGAAGTCTCAAGAACAGTAGGAAGATTTCACCCCAAGAGTTTATTCAGGATTTAAAATCTGGGTCAACAGATGAAAGACTAGTCACTTGCTTAGAGTCTCTCCGTGTGTCCTTGACTAGTAATCCTGTCAGGTAACATCATTAACACATATTGCAGAGATTAATCATATTCTCATTTCTTAATGGATTAAAAATAATGGATATGTAGATGTAAATTGTTCAAGTTTTTCCAGTTAATGAATGTGTATGCATTAGTGAATAGTTGTAATTTTTTCTTTTTTTTCATTGATTATATATCTTCTGTAGTTTTATTATTTTTTAATAGAGTTCACTGACCTATGCAAGGTGATTCTAAGAGAAGATAAATTAAATGTAGTGCAGAGCAGTTCCCTTTGTTTTCTAGTGCTAAATGGTAAAAAATTTTTTCCATTTTTATTTTTGAAATATTCTTTAACTCTTTGATCTTTTAAACTATTTTGTCAGGGTGATCAATAATGGGAGTTAGGCACCTTGATGTAAGTTTGTTCACCGGAAAACATTTACATTTTTAGTTGCGTGCTACTACTTCTGTCCAGTGTACTGTAAACTTTCTTCCTTGCTGCCCTCTGGTTATTTTTTCTGTGTCTGTAGAGTATACAGAAGAAAGCACAACATTCATTTACTTGTGCTTTTTTGAAAGAAGGCTAACTCTTCAGTAATTACTGATATCAGTCCTGAATTTTGATTTGATCCATGCAGCTTGATTTGTGAATGCTGACTTTATTATATTGTATTTTTTTCTATTCTACTCTATTTTCATCCTTTAGTTTTAGAGTTACTGTTTAAGACAGTGACTGGACACACTATTTGGAAAACTAGTTTGGGTTTAGTTCAAGATAATGCAAAAGAAACATTGGGAATGCTTATGATGGAACATGATCTAAAAAGGATTATACAACTTTTTCTGTGTCTGGCTTGGCAGAGTTGTTCATATGGGTCTTCTGTATGGGTATTTGCTTCTTTCCTTCTATTAATTTGTTTTTTAATTGGATTGTCTTGTCTTATTTAGAATATATAATGGTTCACGTGGGAAGAAACATGCTTTATGTTAACCTGAGTTATTCTGACAGAGAGTTTTACAGAAGACATACTTCCTTCATGAATGTAAAACTACTTTTAGATATAGTATTGCTTCCCCTTCTTAAAAAAGATTCCAACAACTCACAACCCCAGCAATTTTTTTTTATTTTTTTATTTGCACTTAGGTTTAACAAAGAAAACTTTGCTTGTTACTATAGGCTTGGAAAGAGAAACATGAAATGTTTGAAATGTGTGACAACTTCTGCTTAGAGCAATCTTTTCTCTCTGTTCTTGATATGAGTGGATAGTTTTATCTTTTTGTATGTCATTCCCTTTGCTGCCTCTCTCCCACATACCAAGAGAAAAGTTAACCCCCTACTGCCCAAAAAATAAAACGAAACAAAACCTGTGATCTTGGTGATGCATTGTTGATATCAGAGTATTGCACTGATTGCAACACAGGTTTTAACTTTGTTCAGATATCAACTACGGTAGGTAAAAAGTTTCACAGTTGAATCTAAAGTCCTAGCTTAACCATAATTTATTAAAATATAACTTCAATTTGAAACATTATGCAGAATGTAGAGACAGCTTAAAAGAACTATAAGGTTTGGAGTGGAGACGAAATCATTAAGTTAATGGATTTGACAGGTTTGAATTGGAAATAGAGTGACTATGGCTTGCAAAAACACCAGAGAAGAGATATTTAAGTAGCAGTTCAATAAACAAAATCTCTACTGCTTGTCCATGAACACATTTTAGTCTACAAATCAAAAGAAGGATCACAACCAGTAGAACATATATTTTCTGAAACAGTCTTCTGGTATATTGAGTGGTACTGAGAAAAGTCTATTAAGATAGACTTCACTAGGCTTAAACTGAGCATTTCAAATAGCCTTAGTAAAAAACGTAAGTTCTTAAGTAGGGCTTATATATAAAAGTAGCAAAAATGGAACAGCGAGACACTGGTGACCTTGATTTTCCTATCAGCAGCCAGATCTTTGAGTAAGAACTTACATTGACACATAAATACTGAACTCTGGTTCAGCTGCTATAAATCCATGATTAATTTAGACTTCAGCTTCATGTGATATGGACAATGAGAAATAACTGATTAAACTTTGGGATTTTATTTTGTGCATATATAATAACAATGGATAAAAGTATGCTTTTTTAACAGGATGAGAATTAAATTTAGATTGAATTTAGGCTGACATTCTTAACATTTGTGGGCCGTGATATTTCTGACAATATATAATTTAGGTTTTTTTTCTGATTTTTCAATTACTATAGTTTAATCAACCTAACTTTTAAATCTTGTTGACATTTCAGTTTCTAATGCAAGAAGTGATTCCACAACATTGTTTTCAATTAGTCTTTCTTGTAAAATGTATTTTTAGTTCACAGAGAAAATGTGAATTGTGATATTGAGTAGTTTTATCCTTGGTACTTAGAAAAATGTATTAATATCTGTGGCTTACTGCAAAAAGCAGTGTTTATATTCCATCAGTATAAAATAAAGCCTCAGAAGGAAAATCTTGGTCACTAATCTTCAAGTAAATAATTTGGGTGTTATGACCTCACAGTTGCCAGCACAGTTCATCAAAAGCGCTTCAAGTGATTTAACTGTGCATAGTATTGCAGATAACTGGTTATCTACAGCTATTTATTTTCTTTTTGTGTAATAGTTGCAAAAGATTTAATTTCATTAAGAGGACATTTTTAATACATTGAAAATAGGGGCACTGATAACTTGATGTTTTGTCAGACTGACAAAAAGCTGAGTGTTTTCTTTGGATAGTTAAAGTGATTATTTTTCTTTTGTGGAAGCAGAGGAAAAAGCAATAATAATACAACAGTATTTTAGGCACTTGATCATTCTGAGCACCCTCAGCTGTTGGATGTCAACAAAGTGGCTGTGCATAATTCTGCTAATACAAAATATGCTAAGACATGGTCTTGTAGGATTATTTGTAGGACAGATATGGCCAGAAATACCAAAAATAATTGACATTTACTTGCATAATCTGTTTCAGAACAAAACACCCATTCAGGAAAGAGAAAATCTGTTTTCATAATATATTTACTTTTAGGGGAAAAAAAAATAAAAGCATCTGATCTATTTTTTATTCCTATAATTTTAAGTACTACTGTCATTGTGCCATTACATGTATTTGATATCAAGGGATTTTGACCAATACCAAACAGGACCATGTAGCAGCTGTTTCACGTAGAAACAACTTGCCAAGGGTTTAACCTCACCAAAAGATAGCTTTGGTAGTAGCTAAAATTTTAAATTTTTGTTGTGTTCACTTGGAGATATTTTAAATGATCCAGTTATACTTGCTTTTATTCACTGGGATGAATTCACAATTTTCATTCACTGGGATTAGTCTTTTTTTTTTAATTGTCAATTCTTTTAAATTTCTTTTTTCTTTCTCCCTAGCTGGGTTGAAAACTTTGGCCGAGAAGGTCTAGGACTGCTATTGGATGTTTTGGAAAGATTGGTTGAGATAAAAAAGTAAGGATGATTTAATATAAAATTGCGAGCTTTTCATAGTATGTAAACAGCATTTAATTACACTAAACTTTTGATTTATTCAGTCAGGACAGAGTTGTGAAGAGGAGTCAGCATAAGGTTATACAGTGTTTGAGAGCCTTCATGAATAATAAGGTATGGGATTTTATCTAATCTGGAAATCTAAATTACTGCAGTTCAATCAGATAAGGTACATGATGAATGAGTGCAAGTCTGTGCAGTTGGGAAGTGGTGGGTTGGTCAGCTGTGGTTTGAAGTTCTTTCTGTCTGCCAGAAGTCTGCCACTTCCTGTCTATATTCCCAGCCAATAATGTGAACTTTTGATGCTGGTATATACCCTTATTACAGTATGTGACCTATTTCGGACTTTTTTTTCATTTAATTATTTTAATAAAGTATTTGACAGACTGAAATGTCATTTGAAATACTTACTTGAGGGAACCATCACTATCATTACTAGATATTCAATAGTCATTTGGATTCCCTCCAACTATCCTTACAACTGTTCTTTTGTTGTTTAGTATGGGTTGGAAAGAATTTTGGGAGAAGAGAGGAGCCTTTTGTTGCTGACCAAAGCAATTGATCCCAAGCAAACTAACATGATGACGGATATAGTTAAACTCCTATCTGCAATGTGCATTGTTGGAGAGGAAAACATGTAAGTACTGTATTTAAGTAGGAAATAGTAAGGTAATTTTACAATATCCAAAATTATAGTTATACCTGAATTAAATGTTAAAATTTTCAATTTAAGTTTGAAAATAATATCTGTATTATATTGTCAGTTTTCAGAATACCTTTGTCTGGTTCTTTTTTTTATTGTGGTCGTATCAATAAGAGTTTTCTTTTTGACATGTGGATGTATTGCTTAGATAGAATTAGTTATGCAGCCATTCTTTTTCTTAAAATTTGTTAGTATAACTTTTAAGGTATCTTAATCCTTGTAATCCAGTAAGTCATTTTTTGGCTGCAAAAATCTCCAAAGGAAACATATAATGCTTAAACCTAAATTTATATGCAAGAAATTGAGGCAGGTGAATAATTTGGCAACATGTCTTTTCAGATAGCAAATGAACAGCAAGTTTAAATATCTCTCCTGAGTGAAATGCTTCTCTTTTCTCGCAGCCTTGAAAAAATTTTGGAAGCTGTAACAGCAGCAGCAGAGGAAAGGAATGTTGGCAGATTCTCTCCTATTGTAGAAGGTCTTCAGGATAACTCAGTTCAGCTGCAAGTAAGCAATTTTTTTTTTTTTTTTTTTTTTACAAAGCACTGCAACAAGTAAAAATAAAATTTCTTTTCTGTACCGAATGAGTCATTACAATTAAAAGGAACAGGTATACTGTTTCAAATAGGGGTCAAATTTTGGAATGTTGTTGATAATTTTATCTTTTAAAATGTCATCGTAAGATTCATTGTTGAGAAACACAGGGCTGTTGCAGGTTATTTTGTTGATTTCTACTCACTCAGATCTTACCTTTGCAAGTTAAAGTTATGCTGTCCTTTAAAATAAGGATAAATCATATATTTGGATGCATAATATTATCTCACTTCTGGCAATATTTGCTGAAACTTGGAGGTTAATAATAGTAAAAAAGCAAGTTTTTAGGCAACTGCTTTTAATAATTAAAGTTTTAATCAGCAGGAAGTCCATCCCTCATGTCCATCTTATCATTTCCTAAAATTGCACCCAGAGAGTCCAAGGAAAAACATCTTCCCCCTTTTTTCAATTTTCAGTTTGCTTCAGTTGGATGTAGAGTTAACGGCAGGAAGGCCCAAAGTATTACACTTCATTTGAATGATCATTATAAATCATTGGTCTGAGAGTGTAAATATGAACTCTAATTGATATTCGTGTAATTCGGTTGAACCGAAAGCTATTAGTAATTGTAATTCTTTGTGAATATTGCAAAAATAGGAAAAGATTAATCAAAAGTTTGAAATAAATGTTTGTATTTTTCACCTTTTGTATTAAATAATCCATGTCAGACAGTAATGATCGCTGCTTGTTTCGTCTATCTCACAGAAAAGCTTATAATAAAGAAATATTTAGAGGTGGAGAATCGTTTGCTCTTGAATTATACCAGTACCAATGGGATTCTTTTATGAAAAATTATCCTTCTTTCTTACCATTTCTATCTTATGATCACAGACTGGTTTGGGTTGGAAGGGACTTTTAAGAACTATATACTTACTTCCAACCCGGCTACCATGAGGAGGCATCTTTCACCAGACCACGTTGCTAAAGCCCTGTCCAATTTGACCTTGAACACTTCCAGGAATGAGGCATCCACAACTTTGCCGGATATGATTGACTCTCAAGTGCACATTTCTGGCTCATAAGTAATTTTTCAATTGTGAATATCCCCAAGTTCTTCTCTAAAGGACTTTTTTCAACCACTATCAGCCTTTACTGATACTGGTTATTGCCCCTACTCATATGCAGGATGTTGCACTTGGCCTTTTTGAACTCCATGAGGTTCACGTGAGACCACTTCTCCAGCTTGCCAAGGTCCCTCTGTAAGGCATCTCTTGATGCTTCCATATTTAACTTTCTTTTAGGTGATTTCATAGAATCACAGGATGGTTTGGGTTGGAGGGATACTTAAAGATTTTTTAGTACCAACCCTCCTGCCATGGGCAGGGATGCTGCTCACTAGATCAGATTGCTCTGGGCCCCATCAGCTTGGCGTTGAACACGTCCAGTGATGGGGCATCCACAACTTTCTGGGCTATCGATAAATTTTCAGGGATATCAAAAAATTTCTGGGATATAAATTTTTCCCTGGGATATCAATAAATTTCAAAAATATTTTGATGCAGTAGGGAGCTGCAGTAGGGATGCTATAGATCATGAAAATTGTTTTCCAATTTCAGGATATTGTATCCAAGTTAAGAGAATTTAAGAGTCTATATTCTCTATAGAACGTATAAGGGTTTGAGAACTTCCAGGATGTTTTGAGTGTAAGCTTCCAAATGTGATCCTGAATTTTCAGGGCTTGTGTATATTTACACATGTGTAGATTTAATAGAGAAAAAAGCTATCTATAACTCTCTTTTCTTTAAGTTAAAAATGCATGTGAAACTGCCCTAAAAGCAGCACATTACTTTATTTGAAGCATTAGATAAATTCAATCAATCATACGTACCTCTCCCTTTACCCATGATGGGTACTGACTGTTTGCAGCAGCGCTCAGCTCCATTAGTGAGGTACCACTGATGGGATAATGGAATTAGTGCAGGAAACTTCAGCTGAGCTACCTATGTCATAGCAACTTCTATTTTTCTAGGACTACTCTTCAGATATTGGAAAAGTTTATTTCTACTAGTTATGCCTTCTCGTGATTGTGATATACCTCCATTTGGTATTTTTTTTTATCCTCTGATATGGATGATAGAAGCATTGTTAAAACTAAGAATTCTGTCTAAATGCTACAGTTGCAATATTTATACTAAAATACTTAGGCTAAATACATTCATTTGGCTTTGCTGTGTTAGCCTGAAGTTCTTGCAGATAGGTAATGTTTTGCTGTTTCATTTGCTGTATCTTTTGTAGACGTGGAAACTTTCATGATTTTTTTGAGTTAAACTTCCATTTGAACATGTTCCTTCCACTAAAAGGCCTTTTGTTATTTATTTATCTTTTCAGACTTCAAAAATGATTGCTAGAAAAATCAACGTTCCTCATCTGAATCAATTGTAAACTTTTCTAGCAATGACGTTGACCTGGTGGTTAATTTGACAGTGTTTTAATGAGATAGAAGTTTATAGTTGTCAGTTACTTGGCATACTTGCCTTGATTGTCTGCTTGATGTACGTCTGCTTGCTTTGTGGCAGTTCAATTTGACACTAACAACTGACCTTTTCAATTTTGAATTGACTTAACATTTCTGTTACTAGAAGTTTGAATACATAAAAGGCCTCAATATGGTGTTTTTTGTATTTTTAGTGAAAGCTCTGTGTATTTACTTTTTGCATTTATTGAAAGCAAAGGGTATTCTCCCTTTATCTTTCATAAAATCCAAAATTATGGAAAGCATACTTAAATATTTTTGGTTCAAGACAAGATTGGTGATCTTAGTCTGAGAATATAACTACAGCCAGGAGTAATACCGAGTTTCTGGTTATGTTAAAGTAAATGTACATCTTAAAGCTGTACTCAAGAAAATGCATACAGGGCAATCTGATACCTTGCATATTTATGACGACAACTGAAAAAGTGTAATACTTTGGTTGTACAAGTCAGGGATGCAGGAAGTACAGTTCTGACACAACTAATTTTGAAGTATTTAAGACAGACGTGAAAACAACAATAACAACAACAACTTGTTTGTTGCCCACTTCTCATTCTTATTGTAGAATCAAATGAATGCTTGTATTCTCTAATAATCAACTTTCATTACTATTTCTCAAGCAGGCTGTTTAACTAATGGAAGAATGCTGTTCTTCTGTGCAGTTCTAGTTAGAGATGCCATATCCTTGTAATTTTGGACATAGGACTGAGAAGAGATACAGTGGTGAAGAAAAGATGCAATTTTTCCTTTCCTGGTTAAGTTCCTGAAAAATGAACACTGCTCATCCCTGTGGAAACCTGCAGGTTCATGCATGTCCTAGGAGAAGCACTTTTGTGGCAAAGTAAAAGAATTCATCAGTAGCATTAACATCAATATATTCAGTAGTCAGGGAATACCATTTAATCTTTCTTTGTCATCTAATAATATGAGGATGTGAGATGATATGGTCTGTCATATTTTGGTTAGCTGAATCACTTGTTGATACTTGGTTGTTCTTTGCTTATTAGGTCCTTTCCATAACTGCTTACCTAATAGGGTCAATCAGAACAAGCTTGCCTTACCTACACATCAAGATTGATAATAAGTATTTAAGACCCATGTAATTGTACATGTATGTGGATGGTACATCTCAAAACTATTACTTAGAATTTTTTGTCATTATTAAGGGAAATAATTAATGAGTATCAATATAGTGTCTGTACCAAAGCCAGTTTAATACTGGCAAGTAGAATTTAGCTAAATATACATCATCTTTATAGCCTATTCTACAAATGCATAGTTGCAGTAAGAGTAAGAAAAGTGAAATAGAAAATCTTACTGCAGTTCCTCTTATTCAAATAAGCAAGATATGACTGTCATGGTTTAGGACTGGTATTCTCCAGTTTACTGTTCCTCCTGAAACCACTCCAAATCACGTGCTGCTTGCTTACTCATCTCTCTTCCCTGCATCAGGCTGGAGAGGAGAATTAGAGGCACAAAAAATAAAGATCAGGGGCTGAGATCAAAACAATTTACTGAAAACAGCAATTAGATAAGAAAACAAACAGTAACAGCAACAATGTTTATAATAGAAGTGTATAAGAGAGGCGAACTATTCACATGCGAATGCTCACCACTATACCATGCTGAGTTTGACAATACCCAACTGCTGCCATGGTAGCCTGACCCCTCAGGAACCCTATCTTATCTATTGAAGGAAAAAGCTGCTCTGAGCTACTGAGATATACCCGACATTTTTCACAAGTGAAGGACTGGATATATGTGTGGTTTTCAACTGGGAAAAAAATTCAAGTTTAAAGTACAGGCTGTGGAATCCTCAAAAAATGTGTTCGTAACATGATAGACATCACCTGTTAAAAGCAGAAGATACTAGAACTGGAAGCTGTAACTTCTGAATTAGCAGATTATGTCTGATCTCATCTATTTTTTCATGGAGGAAAGCATTCAACATTTTGACTCTCCAGGTGAACTGTTTCATCATCCATGCAAAGTTATTCCCTACCAAAAATATTGTATCTGTATCCAGATTTCCCTTCCATGTGGCAGCAGGACCTTAAAAGTCTTCCCGATGGAATATACTCACAGAGTCAAAAGACCTTGGTGGACTGTACTTACTGCAGTTCTTGTGGGATGAGAAAGGGAACAAAAATCTAACTACATGGTCAGATGAAGTGAAAGCTTTGCTCTTGGCTTTTCTCTGAAGAAAGGAAGGTGCCTCTACACACCTTCACTGCATGCCTGTTGTAAACAACCGGATACTCTCAAGATGTAATTACTGTCTGGTTAGAGGTGCCCCTCAGGAAAGAGTTGTTATAGATTGCAGTCCTCAGCATCATAAGAAAATTTTAGTAGGTTCACTAGAGAGCTGTATATTACCATATGCCTTTTGCTGTTGGAGCCTAAAATAATTTCAGTTTTTCAGGGATCTTCTCAAGGATAGATTGACAAAATACCTTCACTGACCGAATCTACAGCTCTTCATGAGTTGGTCTTAGTTGTAGACCATTTGCCCAAAATGTTTTGGTTGCAATGACTTCTGCCTTCTTAGGAAGCTAATTTACCTGACTTCCCTAAATCTTGTACTACTTCATTTATAGCTCTTCATTTATTAAAAATGAGGTATCTTTTTTGATCTCAGCTTTTCCACATTGTGTCCATGACTGAAAATTTAAAAGACTGTCAGTCGCTTTACAGAATCTTTTCCAAGGTAATTGAATACAAAAGAATGCAGTTTGGACCCACTCATCGGGAGTGCAAGTAGTAACTGATCTGTGTTTCAGCATCTGAGATTTATAGAGCTGTCACAACTTGAGTGTCACAGGCATTCTCCCTAAGTGTTATGTACTGTACCTTGAGACTGGTCAAGGAATGGTGTTACATTTGCGATAATGTTTCTTCAAATTTTTCTTAATTGGGAGCATTGAAGTTGAATAGATATTCCTTAGAATTGTCTGTAGTATGAATGCACATAAAGATGAGCACTTGAAGAAAATAATTACTTATCTGTAGCTTCCTTTCTCCCTTAAGATGTTCTTTCAACTTTTTGGACTCTGTTTTCATCTACATAGATGATATGGTTTGAAGCTGGCTCCCTGCCAAGTCTCTAAACCTTACCACAAGAAGTCCCCCCACCCCCAAAACCTCAGGGAGAAGAGGGAGAAAAAACAACCAAGAAAAACTGAAACGAGAGAGAGACAGCTAAAGCAATATATATAAATATATTTACACTTATGTTACAGTAATAAACAATTGAAATATATATATAACTTCACAAGGAAAAGGGAAGGGGGAAGGGAAAAGGAACAAAACCAAAATAAAATATATAGTAGCCCAATATCTAGCAACTAAAAGAATTGGCAAAAAACCTATCTCACTACTCTCCTTGGGACAACGGAGAGTCACGCTGGAGCGACTGCCGGCAACCTCCGTCTCCCAAGGTCGACAAGGCCTTACCAGGCCTCGCTCCCCAACACAACAGACTCCACAGCAGGGAACCTGCACCTCCAAAGCTGCCGGAAGGAAAGAGAGCAAAGGCCTTTCCTCCTTTCTCCTTATAGCCTGGCTTACGTAAAAATTGTAGGGAATACTGGGTAAATCTGGGCCCTTCCTTGGTTACAAACTGGTCACTAAGGCCTAGACCAAACTACCACAATAGACTAACATTGCTGTCAAGCAGGACTAAATTATGCTTACCCTACCATGCACCCCCATAAGAGTTCAGGTGAAATAATATCTAAAACTACTTTCATGCTCACATTCTTTGCAGTAGGATAAAGGTAAATGATTGTGGTCTGTGCTGTCATTGAATTTTAGCATGTTCTTTTTGGAAACCTAAAAAGCGCTGTTGTTTCTCACAGTCTGTATCAAAGTAGCTTGGACATTTGGTTACTCTTGTGACCATATGTAAATTCAGCTCTTGGAATTATATATACTTTGAAGATGACTGATACAGTATCTTTCCAATATTTTGCCTGACCATGGCATAATACAGCATCATTTTCTAGACCATAAAAGGCTTTACAGCAAAGTATTTGGACCAGATTGCTTTAATTGTTTTCATAGTATGTAAGGTTCAAAGATAATCCTAATTGACTTGTGCTTTTAAAAAGCCCTTAAATTGCTGGAATTACTTGAATAATGTATTTCTTGTGCATTGAAGCAAGGTATGCTGAGAAGAAAGAGGGTATAAAAAGGATGTTGACATGCTTATTTGTAATTAACAATAAGTTGTTCTAAAGACTTGTGAATCTGGACAGTGAATTCCTGCTGCTCCTGGCTGTAAGTTTTCAGGATGGATCTCTTGATTCTTCAGAGGAGAGACTACTCACTAGTTGACCTTATGCTTTCTTCTGAGCTGAAGTAGTGGCTCCCATGCAGTGTTCTATAATACTCGGTATGTTTAAAGAGTGAAGATTTCAAAAAAGAAGGGGAAAACCTGCATTCTGTTTTCCAGGCTCAGTTTTGTTTAATCAGCATTTTGTTTTTCAATAAATTTTTCACTATTCACAGACTGTAGCCTCTACCATTTCTATTATGTCACCAGCTTTTTATAGATATGTACAGATAAAGGTATATTTACAGTGATTTTTATATGTTGAAAATTGTTTTTTATCTGCTAAAGTGCTTTTGCTAAAGGAACTCAATATTTGTATAAAATCACAAAATTCATTGTAGTGAGAAAATACTTAATTTTTATGGAAATTTTTGAACTAGTGTTTGATATTGTTGTAACCTGTCCCAGGGCACAAAGGTAACCCAGGATCTTTTTAATAGATCCCTTGGTGCAGATTAAAACGAAACAACACTGAATGACGGATGTTTGTAAACATATATGTAAATATATGTAGGGTTTATTTTAAGGCAGTTTGGTTGTAAAGGAAAGCAGGTATGTAGCCATTTTGGTTATTGTTATTCATGGTAATATAACAATATCAAAACATAGCGATATGAAAGCATAAAAATATCATCCAAGGACATGTATATAGGAAAAAAAAAGAGAGAGAAAGGATAAGATTGTGAAGATCTCACCTCCTGGTCTGCAAGACCTTGATTGTTGCACTTCAGTTGTCCTTGGTCTTGATCTGTCAGGGGTGGATGAGAGGGGAAGAAGCCCACGAAATACAAAGTCTAGTGGGTTAAAATACATTCAGGTTTTTGGTGGAAAGGCTTGACACCTCTTCTAAGAAGAGGGGGCAGCTTTACTCTGGTGGAAGGCCTTCAGAAGATGGGTGTTGGGCCTTTTTGGGAGTCTTTAATGGTATATGGCACATTCCAAGACATGACAGCTGCCTTCCCAGACTTTCATGGGGGAGGAGGGGGAGTTTTACAACCCAGTAGTTTGTGTAAGAGAGGACAATTTAGCATGGTAAGAGGCCCCATCCTGTCTCCACAGGACTCTGTCTCTTATCTCACTCACAGTCCACCGTTCATCCCTCTGTCTTATAAGAGCAAAGGCCATTACACACCCAAAAGCTGACCTCCTCCACAAGAATCTGGCTTCAACAAAGCATCCTGGAACCTTTTCACATAGGAATGTGTTGAGTCATTAGCCCTTAAGTCTCAGTTTCTCACAGATATTTATAGCTCATGTGGCTGATCAGGAATTTATGTAGCTTAATTATAAGTTTACAGTAGTTTTATAATTAGAAATGATGTAATGTCTAATTATTTGTTGTATCTTTTTGATTGTGATGCATATTGAAATCTAAGAAATAAAATAGTTTATTATTTACTCTATTACAGGTAGCTTGCATGCAGCTCATCAATGCTCTCGTTACATCTCCTGATGACTTGGATTTTAGGCTTCACATCAGAAATGAATTTATGCGCAGTGGATTGAAAGAGATATTGCCAGTAAGCGTCTCATAGTCTCTCTTTGCAGTACTATTTACATTTTTTAACTATTTGAGCTTGAGAAGGGGAATGGGAGAACAAGTTCTAGTAAGTTATTCTCAAAGGCATTTTATAAGTATGGGCATGAGCAGGTAAGTATAAGAATCAGCCTAAAAATGAAAATGAAAAGGTGAAGTGTGCTCTCTGAACTTTATTATGATCCCTCGGGATTTTAGGACCTTGCTTAAGAACACATGACGGACTGTTATGCAACACTTGTAAGCCAGGCTGAAGTCATGTTTACCTTTTGAATTTTTAGTTTAACTCATATATTCTTATAATTTTAAACTTTAAAATAATGTAGACTTAAGGAAGTTATTAAAATGATAAGGCTTATTTACATATGGAAATGCTAATTTTGCAAGCCTTTCTACTGTTTCTTCTTTGCAGCAACTGAAATCTATAAAGAATGAAGCACTAGATATTCAGCTGAAAGTATTCAATGAGCATAAGGAAGAAGACATGATCGAGTTCTCTCATCGCTTAGAAGATATTAGATCTGAACTAGAATATCCTTTTGAAGGCCAATGGCATCTTTCCTTGTATCAGAAACAGTGTGGCCAGCAGGACCAGGGCAGTGATTGCCCCTCTATACTCAGCACTGCTGGGACCACACCTTGAATCCAGTGTTTAGTTTTTGGCCTCTCACTACAAGTTCATCGAAGGGCAAAAAAACTGGTGAAGGGTCTGGAGCACAAGTCTTAGGAGGAGCAGCTTAGGGAGCTGGGGGTGTTTAGCCTGGAAAAGGAAGCTCAGAGGAGACCTTGTCAATTTAAATGATTATTTGAAAGGAGGTTGCAGTGAGGTGAGGGTTGGCCTCCCAAGGAACAAGTGATTGGAGTGATTGGATGAGAGGAAAGGGCCTCAAATTGCACCTGGTGAGATTTAGATTGGATGTTAGGAAAAATTTCTCAGAGGTTGTCAAGCACTGGAACAGGGTACCAAGGGAAGCAGTGGAGTCTCCATCCCTGGAGGTCTTCAAAAGACGTGTAGATGTGGCACTTAGTGGCCTGGCTGAATGGTGAACTTGGAGTCTTTGACTAACAGTTGGATTTGATGATCTTGGAGGTCTTTTCCAACCTAAATGATTCCATGAATTGAGCAAGAGAAACATGAAGAAAATAAAGCGTATAATGGATATTTTTCTGGTGTACTTTCTGTTTAAATAAGTTATCATCATTGTCAACATTAGACTGAAATATTTTATTCTTTGTTCTTATTCTCCTTAACACTTTTACTGAAGTAAATGATGTTTACAACATGGTGTGGAATACAGTTAAGGACACTAGTGCTGAAGGATATTTTCTTTCTATTCTCCAGCATCTTTTGCTGATAAGAAATGATTATTTTATCCGGTATGTTTAATGCTGTGGTAAATATTAATTGTGGATTTTTTTATCCTTCAGTCATTAATAGAATATTTCTTCCATAAATTTGAGGATAAATAGGGTTTAGTCTTTCTGGATGGATTGCAATTTGTAAGTATTCCTTTGTGAACTCATGTTTAAAAGTATCAGCTTTGCAACTTTATATATAAATATAAATAGAAAACTGTTGAGATCTGAGCCTTACTGACTGCAAGTATAAGTGATCAGGAGAGATTTCTTAATCAGTTGTAAATTGTGGTAGTAACATTGTAATTTTGTGGTGTATTTGAGTCAAAGGACTAAATCAAGTATGCACAGAAGTTCACTTTAATCTAATGTATTTAGAGTAAACATTTAGAGTTTAGAGTAACTTTTGGGTTGGAATTGAGTATTTTCAGTAGACATAGGTCAGTGTGAACATGTTTGTGTCTTCTGGAAAATTCATCAGATAAATTACAGGGAAACAGTTTATAAAACCTTAAGTGTTAGAAGCTGCCAAATACTTTTCTTCCAAAAATCTGCTTGTGTTGTTTTTGAGGAAGCACTGGAGGAACCAGGTATGAACTGAACAAGGAAGGAGAGCCATCTGCTTTCTGCACAGCATTCTGCATAACCTTGCATTTTGGGCAAGGTCTAGCACACATGTACTTTTAAAGGTTAAGGGTGCTTGCCTGCTATGGGTACATCTGTGCTAGACCTCTTCCACCTGAAAGGGTTTGAATTCACAGCTTGTGCGTTCTGGGCAAGTTACCCAGCTGTCATACCCCCTGGCATTTTAGAACAAGGTGTTTTTCATTCCTCATACTGAAGCAGGGCTGCAATGCATTTATAGTTACAAAAGTCACAAAACTAGACAGAATCAAGCTGAAGGAAGAGCCTTCTCTTTGCTGAGAGGAAGCAGGAGGTAGTCTTTCCTTCCTGTATTTCCATAGGGGGAGAGATACAGAGTTTATACCATAAGAATATCTTTAGTTCCACTATCTTTAGTTCCACTGCTTTTTCAGGCTTTGTGTAAACTGTTCTTGTGTAATAAACTGCCAGATGTGTTTGTCCTTTGAGACTTTTGGGTTTTGCACCTACCTTTCTATGGAAATAATTCAGCCCAAAGCCCAAAACTTTTAAAGTTACTGTGTTATAGACAAGATTTTAAATATAGGTTGATAAATAAATATGCAGTAAAATAGCTCATCTCTGTCTTTAGTCCACAGTATTTCAAATTAATTGAAGAGTGTGTGTCACAGATAGTGTTACACCGAAATGGAACAGACCCAGACTTCACATATCGTAAAAGATTAGATATAAATATCAGCCACTTACTAGGTAAGTACTGTGTTTGGAAATGATTACAGTATCATACTTCTTTTTATGTTCCAAAATCCAAGTTCAAATTATTTGTGTGATTAAGAATCTTATGTTCCCTGTATATGTTTAAGTATGTTTGTTGATTTTTTTCAAGATGTTTGTGTAGATAAAGCAAGATTAGAAGAATGTGAAGAGAGGGCTTCTGAACTTTCCAGAAAAGTAAGTAATTTTTTTGTTATGTGATCATAAGGTAGACACAGGAGATTACTTAAGAGATTAATGAATGATGTAACAGAACATGGCATAGTTTTTAACTTCAAATTACTATTAGTTCTGTGTTAAAGTATAAATTTGGATGTTCCTTGTGGATTGGGAAGCAAAATGGTGTAAAGTAGCTAACCTTAATTGAGAATCTTTCTACCATTTATTCTAAGGTTTTATGTACAACTCTCCCAAAAAGTCAATTGAATACTTTATTTGAACAGTTATAAGTTTCTCTAACAAGAGAAAAAAAATGGACTTGTTTGTATTACAGGCTTCGTATTACTGTACATCCATTTTTTTTAAGCTACTCTGTGTAATACCAACTTGCAATACATTACTACTTTATGGCATTTCATATACTAAAGGTCTGTAGAGGTGATACAGATGGTGCTTCCACTCAGCAGACACATGAAAGTTAGAATAGAAGATGTGTTGTGTGTGTCCTTAGTATTGTTAACATGTAAGTTTTAGCAAGCACAAAAGGAAAAGTTGAAATTTAAAGGAACTATGCGGATCTGACAATTTTATTTCTTTTTCTTTTTTCTTTAGTTTGAAAAAGATTTTGTAGTTCACCAGGAGACCCAGGCCCTACTGCAAAAAAAAGAAGAAAGAATCAATGAACTTGAGACAGAATTACAAGCTTTTAAATCACAGGTATAAAACAGTTTAAATGAATGTATGAAGTATTGTTTTTGAAAGGGACTTCATTTTTCACGTTCTGCAGATATTGGTAGTACAGCTGAGGGTTTTTTCAAAGAATCTTTGTTATCGATTATTATTGCATGTGAGCTTCGTTTATTTCTGTTTTATAAAAATAATTGTAATGTGACATTAATTAGCTGTGTGAGTTCCCAGATGATCCTTTTATGGCTGAGCTCTGTTAATTAACTAGTTTCCTATGTTTTATTTGGGTTTTGCTTTCAATGTCATATATTTCCAAAGTAATTAACCACATAGGGTAATAGGTCTTATGCTTTTAGATTAGCATTCTTCATTGTGATCTTTATCCCTCCACAAGAAATTGCTCATTATGCAGTTTGCTTTACTGAAGCCATACCATGGATATCCAGCAGTGAAAGAAATAACTGTGGCTGGATAAGAACGTTTCCTGATAATTTTTCAATTTTCAAGCATAAATTGATATTTGAAAATGTGATGAAGAGGAGTAGTGCAGATTTTTGAGAATATTATTTGAGTTAGCTTGTAACTGCTTCAGCTCTTAAATCTGTCTAAGGAGACTTTGACCCGGTGACTTTTCCTGTGTCTTATTTCCTGGAATAAGAAGCACAGTCTAAAAATGGCTAAAGGAAGAGCATTAGGAAGACATGCATATAGGTGGTTTTTTTATACTACTTTTTTTACTACATTTGAGGGATTTTTTTAATACTTATTAACTTCTTTAATTTTCTTAGTGAGGAAAAGTAATTTAACTCTTCTTTGGTCTGTTTAAAAATGTCATTCTTATTCACGTTTCTTGTCAAAACTGTTAATGTCAAAGTCAAACATTTAAAACCAGCAATTACAGAAATTGTTGCATTCTGAAAAACCAAATGTAGTAAGAGTTGTATATCATTCATTAAGAAAGTATTTTTCTGTGTGTATCTTGAAAAGATACTTAAATACTTTTTGTAAGCGAAATTGGTTTTCTCTCCTATTTTGCATTTTCTGTTGTTCACTGTATTAAATATAACTTTTTTTTAAATGCAGACAGAGAGCATAGTGTATGATTTTGCTCACTAACTGTCATACCATGAATTATCCCACTGTCATTAATGGGATACATGAAAAGTTTTGTAAATATCAAGGAATTGATTACTGCAACTTAGTACTCTTAGATCTGTCTAAAGAGGAAACTTTGGCTTCCATATGGCATCAGTTGCTACTTAGCATGTCAACTTCCACCTCTAATGACTATTTTTCTCCTGGTATGGTTCCTTTACTCTCTTCTTGCATTTGGTATGTGTTTATGTATTTCTTTCATTACCAGAACCTTTCAGTTCAATGTCTACTTGTCAGTGTAAACAATGTTTTTATTCAGAAATTCAAAACAATAATACCTCTGTGCGTGTGTTTATTTGTATTTATAGATATTCAGCTATTTCCTCTTAGAAATATTAAATCCTTTCCTTATTGTAATTCCCTCAGTTTTTTAAAAATCAAAGGGACTGTTTCAGGTCATAGTTAGTTGAAAAAGTGATTAGTGCTATCAACAGTAGATAAATATTTCTTATTTATTCTTTTGTTGTTTTTATCAGATACCTATTTATTGATGTTTGAAGGTCAGTGATAGAAGTTCTTCAAATAGTAGAAATAAATATTTTTTTACAGAATAAGAAGCTGGTGTGTAAGGCAGCTTTATTTTTTGGAAGGATTTTTTTTTCATAATTGCTTTGTGTTTTCAGTTGTGTAGAATCAGAATGCTCATATATTGGAAGATATATGTTTTTCAACAGAATTACTTATCTCTTCAAATTCTGCTAATATGTCCTTATAATGTTTCTCTGTAATCTGTAGGATAAGTACGAACAATAGAGACTGGGATGTTACTTTTTTTAAATTTGATCTAAACCATGGTAGTCTAGATAAAATCTCTTTAAGAAACTTATCAGACCCTTTTTTAAATCGTGGTCAGTGAAATGTGACTGATGGGATACAACATTTCAGTTTGTCACTTTTGGTGCATTCCCAGGTCTGCTTCAAATATTGAGACTTTGATTATGAAATCAAAAGCATGTTGGTCTCATTGTCATTCATACTTGATCTATAAATGAAAAATGACACTGACTTTCAGCTGGCTTTCTGGATTTAATCTATAAACTATGATTGTTAGAATTTTGTTAATAAAAACTGTGAAACTGAGTAATAATATTTTCCTTATCAGTATGGCTCTGTGCCACCTGGTTTTCTGCCATCAACATGTGGAGATGCCTCTGTTGTTCCGCTGGAAGGTGCAGGACAACATCAATTTCCACCACCTCCTCCTCCACCACTGCCTTCTAATGGAGTAATTCCACCACCACCGCCACCCCCTCCTCCTCCACCACTTCTGAGTGGCTTGGGAGCTCCTCTGGCTTTTGGTGGTGCTCCTCCACCACCACCTCTACCAGGCCTGCCTGGAATACAGTGGTCCCCGCCTTCCTGTGCTTTGCCGTTCGGAATGAAGCCTAAAAAAGAATTTAGACCTGAGGTTACCATGAAAAGACTCAACTGGTCCAAGGTAGTATTGATTAATGGCAAATACTGGATGTAAAATCTGACATTGAACTTAGGGTAAATAGATTGTCAGGAGTAAGACTAGATAAGCAATCAATACGTTAGTTAAAATTATGTAATATATGAATACTTTCTTGCCTCTGGTTTTTTATTATTTTCTGAAAACTGTATTTCATTGGTTCATCTGGGCAAGTATCTGTTGACTTTATGAGATGCCTGGAAAAGTCAGTTCTACAGTTCTAGATCAACCTTGATGCCTGCATGCTTCCAGGGTCCTAGTATGCCTTGTATTTTAGCAGACTCTTTACTTTGGATCAGTCACCGCACTGTACTGGTAGCTATAGTTCTCAAACAAGTGTCTTGTATCTATCCAGCCTGGACTGTGGAAAGAAGCAGTGCAGGTCTCTCAATTTGTCCTTAGTGTAAAGGTACATATGTAAATTTAATGGCTGACAAAATATAGAGTCAATTTGTGGTTTCTTTTTCTTCTCCATTGTGACAGGATCAAGTATACCAGGGCTATCAATCTACTGAGTTTGAAAACTATAACTATTTAGACCAAAATAAGTCAATAAAGAGATTTTCATAGTTTTATGATGTAATCAAAGCTGCATTCTAAAAAGTAAGGTACTTAATATTTAATTAAACAAGCTGTGTTCAGAGGCTCTTTAAAGTTTTAACCAAGTTTTAAATCTAGACCAAAAGTAATTTGCTACATTTAGACCTTGGATAACAGAGTATGTTGTCTGCATTTTTAGAATCAGTTTGTCCAAAACCACTTATTTTAAGCATTATTATTTTCAATGAGAAATATATTGACAACTCCAGAGATGAGTTGTATACCAAAAGTTTACATGTTTAACAGAGCTCTTAAGTATTTAATTTGCTTTAGACTCTACAGAGCATAGTGTCTCCATAGTATCAAAATAATTTAATTAATAAAATTTTGGTTTGTCTCTTGCTGGTAGATCAGGCCTCAGGAGATGACAGAATCCTGTTTTTGGGTTAAGGCAGAAGAGGACAAGTATGAGAATGCTGACATGCTTTGCAAATTGGAACTTACATTTTCTTGTCAAAAAAGGGGTAAGTAGTTGATGGTAATTTTCAGCCTTTGGATAGATCTTTAAAATTCTTGGGCCTTAAATAAATATATGAGAAAACTTTAGAATGTAACATTAATGTTCTTGTTTTTAAGTGGAATGTGTGAAGGAAAAAGTTTGTAAATCCAAGCCTGCTTAAAGGAGTAATATTTAACTATTTTACTTAAAGGATGGCAAAAATTGTGTTGCTGTTTTGCCAGGGGACGAGGAACAGCACAAGAGACACAGACACCAACTTTAAAGAACAGGTGTATAAACTTACTATAGTACCAAACAGCAAAGCATTACAAAAGAAGCAGAGAATTACGAAATGATTAGCATCCACCTAATCATTACTGCAAAGGGTGTCTATAGTGATTAAAAAAGATACATCCCCAGTTACCCTTTAATACATTACCGTAATCAGTATCCAGACCCACACATCAGCTGGAGAGCCCCTGATCTCAGTGAAGGGTGGGAGAACCACTTCTGGTAACTGGGAAATCCTACTCAGTGCTTAGTGAGGCTTCCATCTTTGCTGCAAAAGGGGTCCAGCTTTTATATTGTCAAGCAAACAAGCTTGCATCACTACTTAGTGAAGAAAACATCTGTCTCTCTTCTCTCCTCGCTTTTCACCCAAAACCTGGTCAGGGCTCAGAGGAAAATCAAGGGAGTCATTTTAGACCATGTACTGTTGAACAATGCCAGCCACCTACTTCCATGGCCTTGACCAATTTCTAAATACGGAAAGATAGATACATTTCTATCTCATTAATGAACAGATACAAATGTTCACTAATAAGCAGATACCAATATGTCTTACTAACAAGCATACATGTTTACACAGGTGTAGTGTTATCATATTACATGTTTTACTAATGATTATGCAAAACTTTGCTTAATAATTTAGCTTATACCATGGCTAAGTATAACATTAGGTTGGAAGGTTCATCTAGAGGTCAACTCTGGCTCAGGGCCTGTTGTTCAGGCCTTAGCACTTCAGTGAGCTATAGGAGCACCTCACAAAAAAACCCCCAAGAAATGCTCTCAGATAATACAGACTTTTATTTAGTCACATTTGAAAAAAATATTTATAAAATTTTGTCAGAATACTTTCATAAAGTACTGCAATCTAATCTAGAGGCCAGAAGATGATGTGTTTACCCTCAGAATGCATGTTATAATTGGTGTGTTTTGGTTCCATGAAGAAGGAGAGTATTTTAGTGAATTTTTTACTTTCTGATAAACCTGTATCAACACAGATTTCCTTTGATACTTGCTTAGCTTCTTCAGCTTTTAAAGCATTGTGGAGGAACAAAATATTTGAAAATATTCCTAGCTTTAAACCTTTTCTCCCTTCCTAGTAGTAGGTTGTCTCAGTAATAATGTAGGTTATTCTGTCCCATATATAAAATGCCTATATTTCTACTGTTATTTCTTGACACAATTTTTTCTTCCTTCTTTTTTGAAAACAGAGACTTAGTACTATGGGGCAACCAAAGGGCTGCAGTGATTAATTTCTTTGGAAATTGAGATGGCATCATTGTATTTTTAGTGTTTTAAAAAAAAATTTACTTTGGTATTTTTATTAATATGACATTAATTATTTTTATTAATATGACATTTCATGACATTTTCAAATTTCTTCTTTTTTGGGGTATGTTCTGGTGTGTATTCTTTTGCCATAACCAAGAACTTTATTCTGCTCTTGTCAAAGCAGGCTTTTTATGCTCTCGCATTATTTCTACTGATTTTAAGTATTATAGTTTGTTAATGTTGATATTTAATAATATTAAGAATATTGTACGAAGATAAAAAGGCAAGAAAACCTCACAGACCATAGACATGTCTGCTTGAATCTATTAAAATAAGTCCAGAACCTAATTATGGTTCCTTTATAATGTTAGGAGAATTCCCAAGAATGTTCCCTGAATTAATAGGTTGGAAGGTTTAAAAGCCACTGGAGGAAATAGTTTCTTGTGTGTAATTAAACAGTAAAATTTGGGAGACAAGATGACGTTCAGGCCAAACATGTTAATGGCTCGGAAGAGGATTGTGAGTCTCCACAGACAGCAAGAACATTAGAGTTAACGAGATTAACATCCCTCAAAATTTAACTGAACGGACTGAATACATTGTTTTGACAAAACCTAATATAACAGAGTTACTGCATCTACAGTTGCAAAGTCAGTGAGGTACACTTTTATACCAAATGTGTGTGTGGGGGGGTGATTTAAGGATGTAGTCTGCAGGGACACATTTATTTCCTTTTTTACAAGTGAGGCTTACTGCTTAATCTTTTACATTTTTAAGTTTTGAAATCTCTTTCGTCTCACATGAGTGATAAAAGTGTACCATTAACTTACTTCTTCAAAGAAAGTGGAGACACTAAAGATTTTATTTAGACAGCAAGTAGGTGTCTAAGGGGCAACATGGAACTAAATTTCATCTTTGTTTATGTGAGTGGTTTACAGAACTTTACATGAATACTTAAGCACATTAGTAGACAAGACCAGGTATATCTGTATCTCTTGTTGACAGCACAAATTCTAGTAAAGAGGTCGGCAAAATAACTACTTTTGTTCTCATGACCATGGAGAGAGGGGATACTTCTTTGTAACTTATACGTAACTTACTGTTTATAACAAAACTTACCAAAGAAATTAGAGACATCCCGTTTCCTTCACAGTCTTGAAGAGACTTAATACCAGGCTTTCTAAAGTAGAATCAGCAAGCTATTCACTGCACTCAAATTGGGAACAGTCCTTGAATGTTTCTAAAGCTTCGTCTCTAAACCCAGAAAGATGAGAAATTGAAAATGATTCTGTAGTCAAATGATGACATGCAATGAATGAGCTGGTTCTACTCTCCTGAAGGGTCTGCTTATGCACTCTTTTCACTGAAATCTTTGCATAAGAAGAGGTATCTAGTTGTGGAAGCAGGGACCAGAATGTTCAATAATGCTTTAAGTGAATTTTATTCTCATTAAGTATAATCATATTGAAGTACTCAAATGTTCGGTTGTGACATTTTGCTAGCTAACGTGCCTGAAGTATTTCAGTGTTGATCTAGAAAAGTAAGTCTCATGCCTATGTAAATAGCCCATTGAGGAAATTCTGCTAGAAAAAGGAATACAGAACAGTATAGAATAGAGTTGAAACTTTAGCAGATGTTTATATAGGAATTATAAATTATATTGATTCTGAAGGGGCATTGAAACAATTGAACAACTGAAGATGTTATGGAGGTACGAAAGAAATACTACTACAATAATTAAAAAGTTCAAGACAATATTGCAAGAAACAAGTTAGCATTACAAATGTGGAAGTATGAAGAAAATGGGAAAACTCATTAAATTTATCTAGATAAATGTAAATGGGATGTTCTTCACAAACTCATTTTGAATCCATGAATTTCTTGCAAAGGATCCTCTAGCTAATATTGAAATGTACATTTAATTTTTTGAAAAAGAAATTAGCTAAGGAGTTGGTGAGACCACTTGGAGACAGCTTCAAAAGTTCAGCAGGTTCAAAGAACATTAGAAAAATTTCAGGGTAAAAGGTCCAAAAGAAATAGGAAAGGATATATTTGTAGGAAAGAGCTTTCTTTTTTGGGAAGTGAGGAGAATGGATTATACAAAGTGGTAAAGCTGGCATAGTGTGTTTTCAAGTGACATCTCTTATTGCAGCTCGTGGTTCTTAATCATGGATATGAGTGCCTGGTTAGTTGGAGTAGCTTCAAGCTACTATGTTTAAGACTTACAGTACTGAAAAAAGGTAAATTTTAATATGCAATTGCTTGGTCTTGTCACCTTATAAAACAGAGGAAAGTAATGAAACGTCTATAATAAATATTCTTGGTTTGTGGAGATACTTTGAAGAGTACTGGTATGGAGAAGATCATAGCAGTAAGTTGCTGAAGTCTCTGAATAAATGTAATTAATGTAGTGAGACTCTAGTAGTTAAGCATAATGTTGGATATGTCTTCAGGATAACTTGAGAGAGAACCAGCTACATGTTTGCTTGCAGTAATCCTCTGGGTGCTTGAAGAGTTTTGCCAAGGTGATTCCCATACTTGGGAGGTTGTATAGAGAAAGCAAGAAAGCAACTTCTAACCAAAAAGAAATCTTTGGAAGCATTTCAATCCAAAATGACAATTTGTCTCATGTATGTAAAATATAAGAAAGGTAGTAGTTTTATGAAATGTGTGCTTTATAATTATTGTGTTGCATTTATAAATATCCTATTAATAAATTGATTTGACTTGATCCAATGACTCTTATGTTTAAAGTGTTAAAGTCCAAATGAGGATTAGAAATTGCACATCAAATATACAAGAAAGCATTTGTAAATTCTTAATTATTTTTAGCAGTATGTAGATAACTACGCTTAGTGGGAGATGGCATAAAATATTAGAAATTTACTCTTTTAGATATTGAAGGGAACTGATCTGGTAAACTCGAGAGAGAAAGATCACATGATCTCTGTATTTTTTTTTTTTTATCTACTAGGACAGATTTTCATCCTAATCTTATTGGAGATGGCAGTGTCTGATCCCATCACACCAGAGCTCCTGCCAGACTTGATTATTTAGAAATAAAGCACTTCTGTGGGAGTACTATCTCTGTTGGCACTTGTCTTGAAAAGGTCAATATAGTTCTAATTTTTTTTCTTTTTTTTCCCCTGTATACTCTAAGAAAAATCATCAAGGCCTAAGCTGCTATAGTGCCAACTAAGTCTCAAATATTTTAAACCAGAAAAGAGAGTAAATGCTAGCAAGAAGATCAAATTAACAATATAAATCACTTTAGTGCTGTATTTGACCTGGCACAGTCTATCTAGCCATAAGCAAGAGAACTTGCAGTCATCCACCTGAGGATTAGGTGGAGCCCAGTATCCTCATACTTTCCTCCTCTGGAGGAGGGTTTATCAGCAGTAGTTCCAAACAGTACTCCTTGTAGAATCTTATTATTACAAAGCTATCAGACTGCCAACAATATATTTGAATAACTTCTGCTATAACACAGCACCAAGTAACCTGAATTACCTTTTAATGGAACTGCGTGCAAGTAGAAGTAAAGCCTGCTATGTGTTTTAAGTTTGGCTGCCTTGCAGTATCACCCAAACTGCCCCTGAAAGCAAAATAATTCAAAAGCGTTTGTCCATATAAAATGAGAAAAGAAAAAAAAGTTTCTTTCTGAAGATAGCAGGAATAAGTTTTGACCATTTGCAAGAAACAGCAACCAAGTGGTATCTTGCAACTTCAGTCCATCATCTTCGCATGGAGGGAATGGATGGTATATTTAGTGTTGCACTGGTAGTAACTATATTAGTTGTTTCTGTTCTCTGCAAATAGAATATCTGCTCTTATCCTTTTTAGATATTTGTATCAAATCATATTTGTCATGTAGAGAATGATGCATAAGAATCAGTCATTGACTATACTTCTGTTGTGCATTGAGCTTGGCTGGCTGCCAGATGGCCATCCAACTACTCTTTGACAAAATAGAAAAGTTTGTATGTTGAATTAAAACAGGGAGATCACTTACCAATTACTGTCACGGCTAAAAAGACCCAATTTAGCGAAAATTAATTGAACGTACTTAATTTATTTTTTCTAATGTCTTATCATGGATAGGAGAAACCTTCAGTTGTTCAGACTGTTAAATGTATTTGAAGAAGTAGAATGTGAGTAACTCCTAAAACCTGACTTTCATCTCCAGATAAAATGTGTGGCAAACAAAAAATGGAAAACCCAAAGAGGACATTATCATGCCAGTGGTTAAAATAGTCTGACAATAGCATTTGTTTTGTAGTTTGATTCTTTTTGAAGCTAAAAACTGTGGTATCTTTTTCCCTTTAGTCTGCTTCTTTGACAATTTCCTAGGATGAAATCTCCCATGAATTAATTGTTAATTATGAATTATTGAATGACTGTGACATGAGTGCCCTAATCTATGTCAGAATCATCAGTAAATCAGATCATTCTTCTGATAGGACTG